CATGGAAACCCTCTCCGTCTCTTTCTATTTTACTCTATCTGTCTCTGTTATTATTTCTCTCCCTGTCTCTCTCTCTCGCTACTTTACTGAGCCAAAACAGCCGAGCCCCCTTTTTGACTTCTTTTGACTAAGCTTTCTTTTTGCCTCTGTTTTTGCTCTTTTCATATCATATAATACCCATTAACTTAACAAGCGGGTAAGCTAGACTCGGAACATCTAAATTATATTTTCTCCTGTCATAACATGATAAAAATATTAGTAACAGGAGAGGTCTTTACTGTTTTGTAATCCAAAATTTAAGAAATACTGTTAAAATATGAAAACCCCGGTAAAAGTATGCTACAAAATATTGTACTTGCGTTCTAAGGAAACTTCAATAAAAGGTTATAAAAGTTCATATATCTATTAAAGAACCCGCGGTTTTATGATACATACTCGTCAAGAAGTATCGGGTAACTCTTGGTCTGAGTCAAACTCGTATTTATTTACCTTTCGTTTTGTTTAAGTTTCCTTTTTTCTTTCGGTTTCTGTTTGCATGCCTGAGTGTTGACTGGGTCTACCTGTTATAATGGTAGTATGGCTCGTTGCAGTGGCCACATTCTTGGCCAAGTTGAAATAAGACTTGTTATGGACTTATGGACAGGCAAATATTTATGCCTGCGATAACGGGTGCTCAAATTTGATAATTTTATACAATTATTATCTACATTTTATGTTTCTTGATTAAAATAAATGCCCATTAGGTTTATTATCATCTCATTTGCAAATATCAGAGGTTGAAGAATGTGAAACGAAATTTGTAGCTTATAACCAGTTTAAAATATACAAGACCAAAAATACCAAAATCAATTTGCATGTTTTCGGAATTAGTATAATGAACCGTCTGCTTGAACAGTACCGAGCACCCTGTTTGTAAAGCCAATAAAATGGCGAAATTGCAAAAAATTGGATTACGCAAATTCGTTATGCTCCGCTAGAATTTCGCTCCAGGCGGCAGGCAATTGCACTTGATTAGTGCTGCATAAGTCGGTTTGAACTGATAACAATCGGTAGTATGTAACCTTCCCCTAGAAACTAGCACGTTTCCATTACAATATATAAATTGTACAATATATAAGTATTACAATCAAATTGCGCAGCATAACTGACGGTCAGCTTCCGAAATCATAAAAAAGGTGCTGCTATTTGTTAGTACTTAACAGAGGCGGCAACAACAGCTCAATAACAGACCTCTGTAAAGTTTCCTATATAAGACCCGGCGAAACCCAAGCAATTTTTTCAGTCTCCCTCGAAGCGTTGACGTGTATATACGAATCCATAGTTTTGTTTGTTTCGGTTTGTTGGTTTCGTTTGTTGTGGAGTCAAAGAGGACATTAAGGAGGTGACATCATGGCGCCCACTATTACAAACAGTCAGGCGCACGATTTCAAAGCCCACTACGATTGCGCCCACAGGACCTCGCTGCAGGACGATGAGACAGACGATGCATACGTGAAGAAGATTACGCGGTAAGGACGCTTAAACCGGTTTTCGTCCTGCAGCTGCTTCTCAAGGGATCAGGGGTTGTTGTTTTTGGCGGAAGTAGACAGTTCTAGAAATTTCCATTACTAAAAATGTTTTTTTTTGTTTTTCTTATTTTCTATTATAAGATTATAAAAAAACCTTACATTTTTCGGCAAAAGTATTGTCAGTTTTATTTTCTGTATACTTTTTATTTGATCCGGTTTTTTTTTTCATATTTATTCATATTGATTCGTGAGTGTTGTTTAATCCACCGTACATTACAATCGGATGTTTGTCGGTGGCATAACGAAATATGTATACGTATTTCCCTTATCAATCAAGGTCAAGACTACACCGGGGGTTTTTTATTTGCCTATGCTCACATCAAAGCATTTTGCTTTTTGTTTTGCTCCCACTTCTAACATGTTTTTTTTCAATTCGCCGTTTGACGCACTTGATAAAGACTATAGACTGGTGTTGGTGAAATTTAGGCCCCCTGGGAGGTCTCTGTAGACTATATTGATTAGAAAGGCCAAACTCAAAGCCGAAACTTAAACCCGGTAAACAATATTACCTCTGTGCTTACTCAAGATTGTGCTACAAAATAAATATTAGCCATGATATTGAAGAAACTGAGTTCGTTGAAGAATTTTTCCAGTAAATCTATTTAATTTAAATTTAACTAACAATGAATAACAAAATGAAAAATGAATAATAACATATGAGTACGCACAAGATTCTGTAAAGGAAATTCCAGCAATGCCAAATGTTTTCCTGCCCAATTATTGATTAAACTTTTTGGGGGCTTGTTCGTGCAGCTATATTTCTAGGAAATTCGTAGATAACCTTGTCTTTTATCAGAAAGCGACAATTTTTAAAGGGGCTATACTGTGTGCACTTGTCAGCTGAAAGTAATTAACTCATTCGTTTTCATGAACCGAACGTGGGCGTAATTTAATGGGAACCGCAGCTGGCGATTTGAATAAAGTCGACCAGTTTTTTAATTAAATGCGATTTTTTTTATGACAGGTACTCCGATGGCACCGTCAAATTGCGCAACTCAAACATTGAGCTCATGGACCAGGACATCCTATACCATCTGGCGTTGGGTAGCGAGAGCCACGACCTGCAGGAGATGTTTGGCGATGTTAAGGTGAGTGGCCTAATCACCGGTCTTTTAAATTATTCATTATCTGAACTCGTCAAGTGGTTGAGACTAGACCCAGGCCTAGACCTTGATGGTTATCAAATCAAGTGGAGCAATCAAGTTAATTATACGCCTAGTCAGTCTGATTTATAAACTTAACGAACTCTGATAACAATACTGCAAAGATCTGTATTTGTAAAGCAAAGTAACCACAGTTTTAGATTGCTTTATCAACCTATAATCTGTAATAATACTACGGAAACCTGAAATATGAAGCAGGGTATTCCCCTTTCCTAGCAAGCTTATGTAATGATTTCTGAATTCTTCGACAGTTTGCTTGCATGGGTGGAACGCCCAAGCGCATGGAGAACTTTGCCCACTTCATCATGAACGAGATTGGATACAAGTTGCCAGCTGGCACCCAACTGCAGGACATCAGTGCCTATTCGTACCGCTACTCGATGTACAAAGTTGGACCCGTTCTGTGTGTCAGTCACGGCATGGGAACGCCCTCGGTCAGCATCCTGATGCACGAGATGATCAAGCTGATGTACCACGCAAAGTGCAAGGACCCCGTCTTCATCAGAATAGGCACCTGTGGAGGAATAGGTGTCGACGGTGGTACCGTCATCATCACCGAGGACGCCCTCGATGGCCAGCTGCGAAATTCCCATGAATTTGTAAGTATTATGTGCTGTAAACAAGATTTTCAACAAGATCTAAAAATGCATTTCATATTTTACAGACCATTCTGGGCGAGACCATCCATCGCCCTGCCAAGCTGGACAAGAAGCTGGCCCGCGAGCTAAAGTCCCTGTCCAGTGCCGATGATCCATACGATACCATTATTGGCAAGACGCTGTGCACCAACGACTTTTACGAGGGACAGGGTCGCTTGGACGGGGCCTTCTGCGAGTTCAGCGAGAACGACAAGATGGCCTACCTGGAGAAGCTGCGCGAGAACGGGGTGGTCAATATCGAAATGGAGAGCACCATTTTCGCAGCCCTGACCCACCATGCCGGGATCAAGGCAGCGGTGGTTTGTGTGGCCCTGCTGAACCGCCTGAATGGGGATCAGGTCAACGCCCCCAAGGAGGTCATGCACGAGTGGCAGCAGGTGGGTGACCCAAAATAAGTCCTCCTATTTAGAAATACTTACTTAAAGATATATTTTTTCCTGCCACAGCGCCCTCAGATCCTCGTGTCGCGCTATATTCGCAAGGTGCTTACACATAATGGACAGCTAAAGAACCTCTTTGGTCACCAGGGATCCATCAAGTCGCCCCGACGCTTCAAGCTCGTCCAGCAAGAGTCTCAGGCCCACGAGTAATCAGTGGGTCACATCGCCAGGTTCATTTAATTATACCTTCTTACTATATGTACGTTCCAGTATACAATGGTGTTACAACATTCCCTAGTTTAGCTCTGATTAAGTTCCTAGCTTTATTTCTGTGTATATCGCCCTCAACCTCGTTAGATAATTTAAACCCGATCATATTGTACGTAAATTCATTGAACTGCTAAACGCCGACATATGTTACCACAAATCTTATATATATGTATACCTATAATATTTAAAAACGGTATCACTGAGTGTGATGTTCAAAGGTTATCAGAAATAAACGCTTTTGAGATCACAAAAGAAGAAACGAATATAGAAATAAAATAAATTGTTAATTGTTATGTTGCATGTTTTAAATGGGGCTACTCAATAAGAAAAAATTCAACAATAATAAGCACTCTTAAAATAACAATTTATTGCTACATTTCTGTTTAATAAATTATTCTCCTATATTGTATTGGAATTCCTAAAGATCTGTTAAATGTACATGTTGATTAGTGTTGCTACCGTAAACTCCACTCAAATGCAAAACCAACAGCACATAATCTTTCTCTGTCTAGTTATATCCAAATTAATTAAAACAATATGAAGAAGAATACAAATGCTGAAGATAACATCAACATATTATTACGGATAGCACATGAAAAATATACAAGTTATATTGTAAAAACGAAATTTATGAAAAATATTTCAATGGTATATTAAAAACAAATTGTAATTAAATTATACAAAACAACTTATTGAGATGTTAATCTTTTTGGGAGAATATTTACCTGAGTGGGTTTTTATAAGTTTTCCAATTTTTCGTTGTATAGTCCTAAAGGTCACTGTGGAAAATGTTTGAACAGCTTGTGAAATACTCTCCGTATACTGTAATGACGTCTTAATATTTCTGGATCTGTGAACCATCTGTTTGTATCAGCTGGAACGTTTGCGATCGAACCAGACTGATCACCCTGCCCAGTTCCATTTTCAACACGATCGTCACAATTGTGTGCCAGCACTCAAAGCGAACGGATCGCACACCTCCTAAGTCGTACATTGACACAAACAAGTAATACATATAGTGTGTGGGAAAAATAAAACGCTACACTCGAAAAATATAGTTATATCCCCTTCAAAAATATTTCTTATATTCTGTTCAAATATGAAGACCACAAATATTTCTTATTTTTATACACAGTTTGATTTATAACATCTATTCGAGAAAACTTAAAATAAGTTTTTATTTGGATAGATACACATAGATTGCCAATTTTCTGGCAACAAACAGACGCGGTGTCGGCAAACAACACACATTTTTGGGGGCAATCATTAGATAGCTAGTTTTGAAGTCCAGCAAGATTATATACAAATTTTGTTGTCTTCAGATTTTGAACGTTTTTTAAAAGAAATTACCAAGGAACCATCTCAAAATGTCGAATAGGTGAGCATGAGCGGATCAAAAAATTTAAAGAATATTGCATTTATATATACTAACAGCATTGTTAGATTGGCCAATCCCCATTTGGATACGATGGCATCGGACTTTTTGTACCACTTGGATATTAATGTGTCAAATACCCAGGATACTAGTGATATTCAGCAGAGATTCGGCGATGTCAGGGTGAGAAAATGATAAATAAATCAACTGTATTCGACTACTTGGGGACTTTTTCAGATCGTCTGCACGGGTGGAACTGCATCTCGAATGCGGGAGTTGGCTCTATACATGCGGAAGGTATTGGGAGTGTCAGACCCGAGTGATCCGGTGGACTTGTGCGAGCGCGGCCATCGGTATGCCATGTACAAGGTGGGTCCGGTACTATGCGTAAGTCACGGGGTGGGATCCTCCACTTTTAGCGTTGTGCTTCACGAGCTGCTCAAGCTGGTCAAGTATGCCCGGTGCCAGGATCCCATCTTTCTGCGAATCGGCACCTGCGGAGGACTGGGAGTGCCACCTGGTACAGTGGTGGTCACCAAGGATGCATTTAATGGCCTGCTGCGCAACGAACATCAGATCGTAGGTAATAAATTAACGATTTTTGAAGACTACATATAAATCCCTTCTGTTTTATTAGGCTGTTCTTGGAAAACTTGTGGTACGACCAGCTCAGTTTTCTGAAGACGTGATCAGAAATATAATGGAATATGGTGCCGATCCTAATGACGGTTTTCAGACCATAAGTGCCAACACAATGGGAACAGATTGCTTTTATGAGGGTAAGTGATACTGAGTTCTCAAACCAGTGATGCTCAATGAGAAGTTTATTGACCTAGGTCAGGGACGCACCGACGGAGCTATATGCGAGTACACTGAGAAGGATAAGATGGACTTCCTGCAGAAGTGCCATGATCTGGGAATCCGAAACATCGAGATGGAGGCTAGCATGTTTGCCTCAGTAACCAAAAAAGTGGGAGTCAAGGCCGGGGATGTTTGTGTGACCGTGGTGAATCGCCTTCAAGGGGATCAGGTAATGGAAATTCCAAAAATATATATACCATTCTATATATACAATTTCTCTTCAGGTTACCGTCACCATGGACCAGAAGCACGAATTCGAGCAACGACCCTTCCTGGTGGTTGGCCGTTATATTAAGAAACTACTCTCCCAGAATCTTTTAAAATAAATAGTCGCTTGATTTAAAAAAATAAAAAGAAAAGAGTAATAAATTAGGATAGGTGGTGAAATGTTAGGTGTTCATTGGAACCCGCTTGGCAACTTTTAATAAGAAAAATCGGTTTTAAATAAAATAATGATTTTTGTTTTGATGGTGGTTTGGTGAGTGTATCTTAATTCTCTACAAGCGGGTCATATATATATGATTGAGTGTATTATGCTCACACAGTACACTCAGCACTCAGGCTGCCCATTGAATTCTTAAGTCGAAATGCTGGTAACATTTGGATTTTAACAAATGCTACAATGTATTTAAGATATTAAGGGTATAGTGTGTACCCGATATGTGAGCATACTACAGTAGCCATGTAGCAAAGGCAGTTAAATGCAGTCATGGCACACACTCAGAGAAAAGACCAGGTATTTCGACCTTGAAGAACTTTTTTAGCACGAGCGTTCTTAAATGGCTGTTTGTACTTCATTTTAGCAAGTTTTTTCCTGAGTGTAGGACTTCGCTCTTCAAAAGAAGAACATTTAAACTTATTTTAAAAGAAAAAAACGATTTAAAATGGAATACCCTTCCTAAAAAAACGCAAAAATAGGTGGGTTTCACTTGATAACACTGCACATTATATACCAGATAGCTGCAGCGACGTCGAGACAGTTGCATTGGCGATCGCAAAAATATTGTACATTTAAGTAGTTTCCCTGCACTCGGAGTGAAAAGATCGCACGCCTTTTCAGTAAAGAGGTACAGCATAGCAAAGAAAAATATAAAAGTGCAATTTATACTATAGATGGGTGCATATATACGACACACCCCAGTGGCGGATCCAAAATTTGCTTGTAGGGCATATAAAAAAAAATTGTTGAGGAGAAATCAAAAATTTTTGAGTAAAATACATATTACGTACATAGTCTAGTGGAGAACACATATTTGCAATATATGGGAGTATTCTTATTTATTTTTTTCTAAAGACTAAAAATAAGTTTTTAAAAAGATGTGGTAAAAATAAACATAAATATTTCTAGGAAAATCATAAGAATGCTTAGATGTAAACTAGCGAAAAAATTGGATTAAGTTAATATTATCAGGCTTAAATTCTTGCTTAAAATAAAGTACCAAAGAATCAGCTCAAAATGTCGAAAACGTAAGTTCAAGCTGCTGTAAAATTAAAAAGCCATTTTAATAAAACATATTCAGTATTCCAAAATTGGCTAATCCCAATTTGGATACGATGCCATCGGATTTTTTGTACCACTTGGATATTAATGTGGCAAATACCCAGGATACTAGTGATATTCAGCAGAGATTCGGCGATGTCAGGGTGAGAAAATGATAAATAAATCAACTGTATTCGACTACTTTGGGACTTTTTCAGGTCGTCTGCACGGGTGGAACTGCATCTCGAATGCGGGAGTTGGCTCTATATATGCGGAAGGTATTGGGAGTGTCAGACCCGAGTGATCCGGTGGACTTGTGCGAGCGCGGCCATCGCTATGCCATGTACAAGGTGGGTCGGGTACTGTGCGTTAGTCACGGGGTTGGATCCTCCACTTTTAGCGTTGTGCTTCATGAGCTGCTCAAGCTGGTCATGTATGCCCGGTGTCAGGATCCCATCTTTCTGCGAATCGGCACCTGCGGAGGACTGGGAGTGCCACCTGGTACAGTGGTGGTCACCAAGGATGCATTTAATGGCATGCTGCGCAACGAACATCAGATCGTAGGTAATAAATTAACGAATTTTGAAGACTACATATAAATCCCTTCTGTTTTATCAGGCTATTCTTGGAAAACTTGTGGTACGACCAGCTCAGTTTTCTGAAAACGTGATCAGAAATATAATGGAGTATGGTGCCGATCCTAAAGACGGGTTTCAGACCATAAGTGCCAACACAATGGGAACAGATTGCTTTTACGAGGGTGAGTGATACTGTGTTCTCAAACCAGTGATGCCCAATGAGAAGGTTTTTGACCCAGGTCAGGGACGCACCGACGGAGCGATTTGCGAGTACACTGAGAAGGACAAGATGGACTTTCTGCAGAAGTGCCATGATCTTGGAATCCGGAACATCGAGATGGAGGCTAGCATGTTTGCCTCAGTAACCCAAAAAGTGGGGGTCAAGGCCGCTGATGTTTGTGTGACCCTGGTGAATCGCCTTGAAGGGGATCAGGTAATGGAAATGTAAATATGCTGGCAGGCTAAAAGTCTTTTCTACGTAGGTCACCATCACAATGGACCAGAAGCACGAATTCGAGCAGCGGCCCTTCCTGGTGGTTGGCCGCTATGTTAAGAAACTACTGCAGCAGTGACTCTGCCATCATTTATTTGTACTAATACACACCTTTACAGTCATAATAAGGCCCTGCTGCTTAGCAGGAAAGATATTCAAATCTCCTGGATGAGCAGCTTATTGTTAGTGTTGATTTTATCCTGGGGCAAACGCAAAATGGACTCTTGTGGGGTTGGAGGAAGTGGGGGCTTCTGGGGAGCTCCGCCCTTGGGAGCCTGGAACTTATTGCCCAAGGCCTCGGCGGCTGAAACTAATTTGCTTTTAACCATGCGATTTGGTTTAATTAATTCGGCTAGATCGTAATCCTTAGGGGGTGGAACACTTGCAGTTTTAGTCAGCTGTTTCTTGGACTCGGAAGTTTTCAGTTCCGGCGGATCTATCTCCTCAATCATCAAACGTGTGGCACTGGCAGGAGCCACCTCGCCCAGCAGAGAAGTTAGCTTCTCCACGGACTTCTTGGCAGTCACATTATCTGGCTCCAGTTCTACCACCTTTTTGTACATTGACAGGGACTAAGACAGGGTAACTCTTTTAGTTTATACTTAAAAGGGAAAAGTTCTGTAAAGGTATCACCTCAAGTTGTTTTCCATCGGCATTAAGAGCATCTGCCATGCGGAGATGGGCCTTCACATTCTTTGGATCCAGCTGCAAACAAGCCTGACAATCAGATATGGCTGAAAAGTACTTCTTTAACTTGATATCTGTTAGGAAGGAGATAATAATTGATTTATTATTTCAATTTTTAATAATATGATTGACCACTTACGTGATACAGCGCGATTGTTGTAAGCATGTACTGCGTTTTCAGGATCATAAAGAATTGCACAGTTGTATTCTTCAATGGCATTATCATATTCCTTGGCTTTGAAGCACTCATTTCCTTTTAGACGGTGTCTTTAGGAAAAATGTATATTTAAGCGATATGATAAGAAGCACTCTAGAATAACTACCTCTCTGCCAGTTGTTCCCTCTCCATTTGGCTTAGGTTCTTCAGCTGTGTTTGAAGGCGTTCATACAGGGAGGCCTTTTCGTTTTTCAACTCATCCTCGGTAGCCAATTTCCGGTGAGTAGAAACCTTCTGCTCGGCCAGCTCCTTGCTGCGTTCCTCATCCAGATCCATGCGCAGGATCTCCTCATCGGGATCGTACTTATCCCATTTACGGTAATCCGTTGATTTAATCCTATCATCTTTGATCTTTGCCTTGGGCGGAGAGGTTGCCTTTGCCGCAGGCTTTGAGGTCTCAGTTTTCTGTTTTTCCAAATCGATTTTGGAAAGTTTGCGTACCGAGGGAAGATCCAACTTCTGTTTAGATTTCTTCAGCTCGTTCAAAGCACTGTCCTTTGATTTAACAGCCTCAGTCCAGTCCTTAAATTGTCTCATAAAGTTTATGCCTATTTCAAAGAGAGATTTAAGAGACCTACCAGGATGGGTTTGAGTTCATTTTTGTCCAAGACATTACTGTGCTTAATCTGTTCCTCGTAGCGAAATAATCTACTATCTGGTTTCAGTTCTTTAAGCTTCTCCTCCGAACATCGTAGCAAATCAGGGTAAAATCCTTCTTGGCCCGACCGCAGGATTTGCACAATCTTCTCCATTTCCCGACCATTTGTACACTTTTCCACGTAGGCAAAGTCCAAATGGTGCAAGGGTATGTTATATTTCTCCAATAGAGATTTCTTATTGTCGTTTTCCATTATTTCGGATTTGCTCTATGAAACAAATATATAACAACTGCTTAAGGTTTTCTAATTTCTGTTGTGTATATCGATCAAGCAAAAAAATGCCGGCTTGCTAGGCAACAAAAGTATGAAATTTTTCAGGTCGTTGATATGAGAGGGAATTTATGAAAGAAAAACGTTGGCATTGCCCTCAAAATTATGATAAGATTAAGAAAGCCTCTTTAGTCTTTATATAGTTGATTATGACTCACTAAAAATATGTGCATTTGTGCAACGATATGAAATCACATTTCGAAACTGCGTTGTTTTTAAATTGGCCTTGATCCCTACAAAAACGCTGCCTAGAATATCAAATATTCTCCTATTTTTATAATAAATCTATCTTCATAGTAAATCTTGCCCCGAATTATTTGGCGTGGAATTAAATTTAATTACAAAAGAAAAGAAATAATACCCAATCCAATAGCTTCCCTTCCAACTCTTCCACCCCTCAAAAATCAACCCTAGAATAACAAAAGTGTACCCGCAGCAGAAAAGTGTGTTTTAGCAGCAGGCATCGTATCAAGGTTCTATGGTGTAATGGTTAGCACTCTGGACTTTGAATCCAGCGATCCGAGTTCAAATCTCGGTAGAACCTGCTTATACAAATTCTTTTTGTTTTTTTTTAATATGTTCTTTTATAAGAAACCATTTTTATATTAACTTATTTCAAAAGTACATAATCTTTTCAAATTATCTCAGCCAAAAGCATGGTTTTCGTTGACTTCGTTGGGCTAGAGGTTCATATTTTGTTTTGCGCCAGCCTGACAACGCGGTTCTATGGTGTAATGGTTAGCACTCTGGACTTTGAATCCAGCGATCCGAGTTCAAATCTCGGTAGAACCTAATATTTTTTTTTTTAACATTAGTTTTTGGATTTTTTTTTTAATTTAAAAATATGTCTTAGCTAATAAAATTGACAACTTAATGGAAAATAACATTTATGTTTATTTGGTCAATTACTAGTTTTTATTAAGTTCATTTTGTTTAATTTGAAGGCCACAAATAATATTGTATATTTGGCGCTTAGCTTCAATTAGCAAATCATCATTCAAGACGGCCAACTCTTTTGTTACAAATTTACTGAAATCTTCAGCCGCTTTAAGTTTTTCCAAAGGCGGCGATGCCATCGGCTTGATCGCTTCTTCTTGGTCCAAAATCTCAATAGACACTTGGCAGTGCCTCGGATCAGATTCAACCATGGAAAATTCTATGCTGGATTCGGGAGAGCTGGGCCGAGTACTACCGTTGAATTGATTGACAACAGAGTCGTTCGAGTTCGAGGGATTGGTAGATATTTCTGGCTCAATACTAACGTCGATTTGTTTGACGACAGAGTCGGTAGAATTCGGGGGATTGCTACAGGTCTCGGGATCTGTTTCTTTTGGTTCCATTTCCTTAAACCACTCTGAGTCTTCTTCGGAACTGCTGCTGTCGGAAGAATTTTGAAGCTTTCTGAAATCTATAGGACTTAGGATCCGAGATATTTTGGAATAATGAATCCACTCTGATTTGTCTCCCACAGTATGTTGATGAGTTCTGCAATGATTCCCGATAAATTATAGAAATTTAAATGGATTTGATGGCTACTACCTGAAGGAGCGCGTAAGTGATTCCGTTTTGGACTTTATATCGTTTGGCGATATATGAATACCAAGCTCCTGAAGGTCACGATGCATATCCTTGTAAACATCCATTTTCGTCCTATCGCTTTGTAAATCAGCTGCATACTTTTCCCAGACATCAACAAATCGGCTTTCGTCCTCCGACCGCCAAACTCTTCGAGACTTTACTCGAACGTTGCTGATGTTACTAAATCTTCGCCTTACCCTCTTGGGCTTAGGGTTTTCCTCGTCGCTAAAAAGGTGCACCGAACTTTCGTCCAAAAAAACAGTGTTAAATTTTCCCTCTATAAGAAAATGAATATCATTATGAGAACTCAATATTGAAAAGATTTAAGTTTTCGAACCGTATTCGCTCTGGGTTTGTGAGCCTTCGTCCATATAAACAGAGGAACGAGTGGTGCCTTTAAAAATAGTACAATATCTTGGTTAGTTGGAGTGAAATAAAGGGATTGCGAAACTTCTTACGGGAGGTTTTTGGTGGCTGCGTATAGTCCTTCCATTCCGTATCCTTGCTCTCTTTGTTAGAACCGGCTACTATGAGTGCCATCGTGTCAAAGTGTTTCCAGGAAGTTGATTGGTCTTCGTTGTCCGAGTACAACAAACTGAAATCTTGGAAATAATCAAGCCGATTCTCCATTTGACAGAAGTATACTGACGTGTAATATTTTCGCTTTAATGTCTCCATTTTGGACTTGATTCCTTGAGCGTTGATTTCCAGGCCAACTTCCCGATAGTACAGTTCCAGCTCCGAGTAGATGTAAGTCAGTTTCCTGCCGGTTGCAAAAAGATGCAGGTTGTGCAACCAGATGTCGATGAATCTGTCCTCCTCGGATGGCGTCCACTTCCGCCTGGAGAGCACTAGATGGAAATATGTAGTTTAAGTACAGTTCAGATAGTAATACATCCATGAAACACATGGTATCTCAAGATCAAAAATGGTCTTATATTTATCCAGACTCTTGGTTATTGGTGTGATTTAAGTATTACTATTAATTAATTGTAGTTTTATAAATTTTTAAAGCGTTTACTTACTTTTAATTGAAATTTTTGGGTTTGTTTACGATTTAAAATTATTTTTTTGATAGTGAGACCGTGCTTTGATAGGCAAATAACCCATGAAAACATTGTAGAGGGTTGCCATTGAGCTAAAAAAATATCTAAATGCCCCCAAATTTGTATTTTTAGTGGTCTTAAGAATTTTTTGTAACAGAAATATTAAAACCAACAAATTAGGGCTTAAAAAAGTTCAATTCGGAATATGTGGCACATTTTATAAGGTCCCAGTTCAGTATGACCGAAGTAGGCAATCCTGAAAATCCAATATGGCTGTCAAACCAGGGACACATCAACTGTGGCATTCAAATTCTTCTACCGCCAAATTCAAAACTCTGCTGAAAAACACATACCCAAATAAAAAAGATAGTTTTGAATAAAATTACGTAAATACATATTTATTTAAATGTTAAGTGTAAGCTTTAAAACTTATTTACATGGTTGTGCAGCAGCGATACAAGTAATTCCGTGTGGGGCTTTACAAAATACATAATAGGTACTCGTTTATTAATAAATATATTTGTGTGTATGTGTGTGTACTACCTTGCATAAGCAAACATTTTAAACCATGCATTAAGGACACTCAGTTTCAATATTCTAAGCCCGAAGCTTAACCTTCTTCCGTTTACTTCCCATGGCCTTTAAACATCTTGATTGGATCGACTACAAAATAGATTTTTGGTTCTCTTAGTGCTAGATTGATACACTTAGGATCTAGGGTGCGAACATAAAGTACCTGACAATCATACGTATGGGTAATACAGATTTTACACAAGCAGCATTAGATATTTTGTGGCAGATATATTGTATTGGGTTCTAAAACTGATGCCTAAAGTGATGAATGAGAGTTATTCGATCTATGTATTTTCCGGTTTCTTTCTATTTTTAATAGGAACGTTGCAGAGCAAGCCAAGAAGCAGAAGAAGCGCGACTTACAAATAAATAAATATACAATTGCAAAAAGTAATCGGTTACCTAAACTATGCTGGCTAACTTACACGTTTATATCACTTTTCGCAAATAATTCGTTTCATTAAAAATAATTTGAGGCCTTTGCACGAATACAAATAAGGGTAACTAAATCGCGTTTTTTGGTTGAAATCAATTTGAATTGTCTGTCCCCCATTCCCAATGTGGATCATCTAGAAGATGTTGATCTGGAACTCGCTGACGATGCCCTCGAGGAAGTTCTTGAGGCTGTGGTAAGAGTGGCTGCGCCAGTAGATATTATTGTTGACCTGCTCCAGGGCCAAATCGATGGCCGATTCCACGGCCTTCAGTCCCAATTTGCGGCAGGTGGCGGCCAAGTCCAGGAGTTGGTGCTTGTGGTAGTCCTTGTTCATGTAGATGGTCAGCGACTTGATCATCTCGGACAGAGTGGAGAAGCCATCGCCATAGCTATTGGGTGACATCCCTTAATTCAGGTATTCATAATATTATTACTGAAAACTTACTATTCGGCAATCTCCTTAATGTTGCTCTGCAGGAAGTCAAAGGCTATCTCATGACCAATGGCATTGGAGGCCACTGCCCGGAAGGCCAAGGCTCCATCTTGTTTCAGTATGCCCGATGTGGGATTGATGGTCATATTGAGGTACCTATGAGATGGTATGGCATACATTAACCCTGTATCCTTCGAATTTGGTTAGTTAAGAACATACTTGGACAGCAGCCAGGGTTTGGTAGTGCAGCCCAGCGAGGTCAGTATCTCCTCCTTTTCCGAAGCACTAGTGGTGGACTTGTACTGCTTGTAGGCGAAGTACCATTCCGGTGAAGAGCCCTCTGCCAGAGATGTGCAGTAAATCACGGACTTGAGGTTTGGCTTTATGCTAGGGGTTTCAAAAAAAACCTTTAACATGAGTTTCTCTATATTTCTTTGCTATACCAAACTTACGGATTCTTTTTGGCATCGCGCATCCACTCGCGGAACTTCATCTGGGCCACTTGGGTGCAGCGATCGTAGTTAAATTTGCAGGCAAAGTAGGCCACCAAAGCGCGGTGTTTCAGTTGCAAATGGGACTCATTGTCTGGCTCGTTTAAGCCATAATGATCGAAGGCGGGACGTACAATGAACTTCATGAAGGCCTGTTAAAACAAAAATAAAATAAGCAACTCTAAGAGGTAAAAGTATTTATAATTTCCTACCCTGAAGGTCTCGAAGGCAGGCTCCCTCTTGAGGTTGTAAATGAGATAGTTGAGACCAGGTTTGGCGGCACTCCAAAGCAACTCATCGTCCACAGAAGTGAACAGCTCCATAAGGAAGGTCAATCTGTAAGCATCCATGGTGATTAACACGTTTTTCATATAATATGTTAAGATTTTATGAACTCACGGTATATCATAGGTGAGATACTCCGCCTGCGATAGATGCAGTGCATCATCCAGCAACTGGGCTCTTGTGATCCTGGGCAGAGTGCTAAAGTTCTTCTTGAGCGCCAGCCAGGAGGTCATATCGTAGTTGACCCGATAGTAGCCCTGACGGTTGAGATTCAGATAGATCACGTTATCGCTGTTGCTGTTGTGCGTGAAGACATTGCCCACGATGAGCTCTCCCTCATCTTGGCTCCTCATCCAATGGGATGGTATATTGTCACCCTTGCGCAGCTCATCGGTTTCGAAGGTGATGGGGATGAACCAGCTGCTCTGGTCCGCTGGGTTCTTCGAGGGCAACAGGTAGCGCTGCTGGCTCAGGATGAGATCAGCACCACGTCGCTCCACATTGACCACCGGATAGCCCGGCTGGGTGATCCACGAGTCCATGATCTGCTTGACACTCAGATCCTTGGGCAAAGTGCCCTGCTCTTGGCCATGGTGGGTGAGTATGGCCCAGAGCTCATCGCGGTCCATATTCCCGTAGGCGAACTTCTTGAGCAGATCCCGAGTGGCTGCGCGGAAGGCCACATCTCCCACAATCGAATTGAGCATGCGCAGCAGGATGGTGCCCTTGGAGTAGCTAATTGGATCGAAGATGCGCCTTACATCATTGGTGGAGCGCACATCGAAGGATATGGCATGCGAGGTGTTATCGGCATCATGCTCCATCGACTCCTTGAACTCCAGCGTGGTCAGAGTGTCCATGATCTGAAACTCTGGGTGGGAGTGCTCCAAGGCCTTATAGCTCATATAGCAGGCGAATCCCTCCTTAAGCCAGAGATCATCCCACCACTTTGGGGTCACCAGGTTGCCAAACCACTGATGGGCCAGTTCGTGGGCAATGATCTGGGCCACATACTGCATGTGCTCGGAGGAGGAGGCCAGCTCCTGGTCCTCGGGCACCAGAAGAGCTGAGTCCCGGAAGGTAATCAGTCCCCAGTTCTCCATGGCAGCGAATCCAAAGTCTGGCACCGACACCAGATCGATCTTGGGCAGCTTGTTCTTCACGCCGAAGAAATCCTCGTAATAGGGCAGGAACTTTCGTACCATTTTATAGGCATAGTTGGTCATATCTATAAATTGTGGTCTCGTCCAGATCTCCACTCGGGGCGTCATTTCGCTGTCCAGAGCGGCAAATCGGGAATCCACCATATTGGACACAATAAAAGCCACCAGATATGTGGGCATCTTGGGTGTGACCAAAAAGTCATCCCTCACATAACCCCGGCGATAGCGACTAGTATGGGATTTGGGCATGTTGGACAGGGCCATCTTGTACTGGAGGTTCCTAACTATGCTGACTGAAAAGTTAGCCTTCATATCGGGACGATCGAAGCAGGGAAAGGCGCGACGGGCATCGATGGGCGAGAACTGGGTGCTGATCATCCATCTTAAAAGAAGGGGGAAGTTGTAAGTAGGTTTTCTATATCGTAGGGTTATGAACTTACTCTTCTTTATTGGTGTCCGGATTGATGTAACTGGTCTTGTAGACGCCCTGCAGAGTGTCCGTCACCTGGCTGATGAAATCCAGACTAAGCTGCAGCTTCAACTGGGTTTCCCCTGCATAGGCCTTATCCAAACTGATCACAAAGGTGGCATTATCCTCTCCATAGTCACTATCAAACTCCAGCTCTTGCTCCTCATTAGCCGTCTTATTTGGCAGGGCACGGATCACCCGGACATTGGAGATACTGACATTATGCACATCCAGAACAATGGGCTCCCAGCTGGTCACCTTGGACACATCCCTCTCAATCTCGATGGACAGGCTGCCATTACTCGTAGATGTCTCCACACTGGGCTCAATCAGCAGGCTGCAAGAAGAGGGATATCATTTATAAGGTATCATATAGTAGGTAGCATCTAGTAGGTATAGTAAGTATCATAAAAATAGATCGGGAAATGCCAGAGAAAACATCCGTTTGCAGGTGAAATGCGATGCAAATGCAAAAGGCTGCCAAAAATGTCAGGTCGGCCCCATCAAAAGTGCCAATCAATCAATCACTCGCCAAGAGGGCAAATTAGTGGGGACCGCATCCAAACATGTGTTTGGCACCCATACGGGGGCAATGCAATCCAATCCAATCTGCCTCGAACTTCGGACGTCGCCATTAGTCCCGGATGGCGGCAAATGAAATGCATGCCATCATGAGCCGCATCAGCAATCAAATCAAAGCAAACAAGAGCGGAATAATTTCTCAGATGAGTATAATGAATTAATAATGCTCTATGGTTAGTCAAGATAATTGTTAATCAATTTGCATCTTTAAAAAAACAGCTATAAGGTTTTACCGCACTTTATTTTATAAAATTTACTTGGGGCCAGAGATTTTAACACTCTTCTAATAACAATATTTTAGTACATAAATAAATTCTTTATAGACACATGAGTCATAGTCTTGTGGCATTTAAATTAAGCGATTTGGAACACAATATTTTTATGATGATAGTATACTGTTATCTATAGGAAATAGTCTTTAGTTTTTAATGGGCCATTAACTATCAATCAATATAAAGTCATTGTATTTAACCATTTATTTCCCCCATAATTATTTAACTTCAGTAATATCTTAAGTAGTTGACTAACCCGTGGGCTTAGAGTATTCCTAATAGATTGAATATCAATTCCCCCGGCTCGTTCTCTCACACGAATGCCAAGAATGCCGCAGACCCGCTGGCAGATGCAGCCAGTTGTGGCCCCATCCCCAATCCTCCATCCTCCAATCTCCAATTCCCGATCCTCCGACTCCCAACCCCTGGCCAATCTGGAATCCCCTGGGTGCGGGCTTTGCGCCTAGTTGCAATTAATTGTGGCGATTGCGATTGGCTTACAGTGCGTGTGAGCGCTGGGGGGCAACCAGGAAGCGCGCTTCGAGATAGTATCTCCCAGATACAGATACCGGTCAACACTGTTTGCTTTGATCGCCAGCTGCAAAATCACTTGCCATCGATCCGCTCGAGTGGCGAAACTGTGCTGCACTTGCCGCCATCCATCAAGAATCGACTTCTGGATTTCCCCTGAACTTTTTGGTTGAGTCTGCGTGCGGTGCTCAAATTAATGCCCAGCTTGGGCTTTCTGTGTCAATTATATTAATGCATGCGCATCTTCATTGGGCAAGGAATATCTTTCTATCTACCCATCTATTTGGCGCATTATGTCATGCCGACTGTCGGCGTGCGTTAATTCTTTCTTCAGATCTGTGCCGCATCTTTTGTGTGAAGTGAAGTATGACCGATGGTTGGAGGATGGTATGGTATAGGTGCAGCCGACTGGCTCCCGACTGGCCATCTCCTGCGGTGGCCTAAACAACTTGTTAGCCCGCTTTCAAGTGGCTGGCTGTCCACTTTGTTGCACGGCGACTACTGAACTGCAACGGCTCAATCCTTGACCCACTTTTGGGCCATAGAAATAGAAAAGTAAACGTGCACTCGCGACCCCAGAAAAGTGACGTCAATGGGGTTGACTTGGGGCGGATGCCAGTGGAGAAGTTTTCCAAGGATAAAGATAAAGATAAGGGAAAACTCGACGGCTGTGTAGCGGTATTTATGAGATGGGATTGGAGAAAGTTGGCCGTATTAGCATGTATTTCCATTTTATTATTACTCCTCTAGAAGCACTACAGTTAAGGGCTTCTTTAAAAGACCAACTTAATTTCTTATGAAATTGAATATAATTCTGATAAAATGTTCCATAGTATCTGTAAGTTTGTATTATCTATTGGTTTTCAAGATTTTTTCATATATCTAAAAATGTATATAAATGTTGAGTTAGGAAATACACTATTATCTTGTCTTTTGACTGTTAGAAAATAATTATAATTGTAATTTAATAGTGTCTAGTGAAACTAATTGCTTTACAGAAAATGGTTTAAATGCATAATGGAGTTACATTATCAGCAGACCCTTTTTGAAATGTTGTGATGACTTTTTCAAATCGTTTGACAGCTATATCCCAATTATCTTGTTAAACGATTAAGTTATCATACTAAAACCTCTGACGGGCTTTTCTCTTAACTTGTCAAAACACATCTTGATAGAAGCGTTTAAGTCCAACAAATTGATCTAGGTTTCCATCAAGTGTCAGGGGGACAAGAATTAGAACTAGATCGATTCCGGCATTTGCAGCGACAGCAAAATAAGAAAAGAGTCGGAAATGCTGGAAAATCTGAGTGAGCAATTTAAGTGTCAGCTGCATTGCATCTTTGTGGAAATTGAAATGCGAGCATGCAAAGCAATTTAAACGGAATTAAGGGGGCTTCAGCGCGTGTTTCGCTTTAGTTTTCATTAAGAGCAATTGGTATCCTAAGTGGTAAAGTAGTAAAGTGGTAAAGTGCTGGGCTTACCTATAGTGAAGTGGCCGCCATCCTTCGTAGAGTTTGATTGGACGATTTGTGGGCTTGGTGGTGTTGTCCTCAACATCCTCGACAGGTGGCTCCACCACCGGAATGTCACCCACTTTGGGATCCACCGGCTTTATTTCGGGCTCCCCACTTGTGGTGGGCGGGGCCAAGGCTGTGGTAGTCGTTGTGGTTGTTGTTGAAGTGGACGTGGGCGTAGGCGTTGGGGTGGGCGTGGCCGTATCCAAGGGCGCCGGAGAATTCAGGCTCACCCATCCCGCCGTTTGGATGGGAGTCGCATTTACCTCTGTGTGATCGACGGCGGTGATGCAACTGAAAAGACAAGGATACAAATCAAATTTGGGTTTGCTTTATGCAAAGTGCTCGGGTCACACCCAATTCTCATTTATGTATACTCTCTGACCCTTCCACACCTCAAAATGCTCCAAAGGAAACGCATAAACTGCTTTCACTTTCCAAAATGAGGTCATGTCGCCTTCGACTGCCAATTAGCACGCTTGCCAAAACGTTTAGCAGAAATGCAAAACGGAACCGCGAACCACAAAAAACAAATACCCGACCAAACTTAATAGGTTAACCACTCCCAAATACGTATATTTGATTTGGATCCGGTTCACTATTACTCACCTGGGAGTCGCTTCCTTGGGCGGGAATCCCTGCCTCGTCACAAAATAGGTAATCACTATGGTGAAAAGTAGGGCCAGAACTGTGATAAAGGCAGCGATGATCAGGCAGGCTTTGGAAACATATACCCCCGATGGAGCTCCGTTGAAAACGTATTTTTGGCCATTTTTGGTCTTGAGCTGACCTCCTGGAAAATAAAAATACGTAAACTGTATAATTATTGTGCTTTTAACAGAAAGAATGAGATAATAATGCAGGGAATGCAGAATAATATAATATAATCTGTATTATGAAAAGTATTTTTCAAAAACCTTTAAATCTTTTTGAAAATTGGAAAGTTTGAAAAGTCATAAATCACGATATTTTATTTTGTTTCGAGATATATATGTTTCCCCCGAAGAACGAGAGAAAGAACCAACTCTATAAGCTGTCTGAAATTATAACACCCCCATATACATATATCTATAATTTTACAGCTGAGCCATAAAGTGTATGCTTTGTCCAATTAATTGATTGTTTTCACTGCATTCAATATTTGTTTATAGGTCTTTGCATCGAATTATTGTTTCGAAATGCCTGGGATGCCAATGCATTATGTGCATACATTCTTCCATGTAAACAATTGATGGCAACATCAAACTGATTTATAGCATAATTTAGACAAGAGTCGAGTGCTTCGAACTACAGAGAGTTAGCGGTCCATTTAGCCAAGTGTCGAGAACAACATGCGGAAAACCTATACCCCGGGATTCCCTATCTCCCCGCTGATTTTCTGGCCTAAACCGATCGTTAAACTCGCTCTTTATGGCGAAAAATGAACTCCAGTGAAAATTAATGTTCAGCTCATTTTAAAGGGCAAAACAGACTGTTAAACAAACCAAGAAGTACCAAAGCAGTTGGGCTTGGGCCAAAATGCATGTTAACAGTGGGTCATAAAAGTTGACAGACAGACAGATTATGGAATGAAAAAAAAAAGAATTTATAGCGAATTTATTTTTTCTTAAAGTATAGCTTAAGATAAGGTAAGGTCGGCATAAAAAATTGTTTTTTTAATATTGATAATATAAATTCCAGAAAAAAGTAAACAACATTTTTAATTTTAGTACGTGCCATATAAATAAAAAACAAGCTACGTAAGATGGCATCATTTTATTCGAGAGAAAAACGCATTCTTCCTGGTACTCTTATCTGAAAACCTTGCGATAAACATAAATGCCAGATCATCAGATAAGAAAAGCACCGTGATCGCGATAAGCAAAAATTCGTACATACACGGGGCACTGCGGAAGTAGATAACTAAAGCTCTTCAAGACCTTATCGATGACATACCTTTGTGGAGTGCTCGGACTTTCTGCACTCACTGTTTCCCCTGTTTTCCCCGAACGGGAGCAGAAATAGTAGCACGTGCTGGGAATTTTCAATTACCCGATTACCATTTCTCGCTGGCCTTCACCGAAGGAGGCCTCAAAACTCTTTTATGATGTGTGCGCATGGCACTTTTATAGGAAAGGCATCGGTATGTCAGTGAGCCATCGCTATCTGGTTTTAATTAAATTTCACTAAGAGGCCAACCGTGTTTCGTGGAAAGGTTGCGGTAACTTTCTAACATATACTTTCCGATTTTCCACCATTTCCACCTGTTGCAATGTATCTGCAGTTCATCTCAAGGGGCCAACATCTGCGCCAAGAAATGCTCCCCATTACGGACCGGCATCCTCCTCCTTCTTTGATCTTCGACCACGGTGGTGCGATGGAATTTATGTGGTGCAGCCGAAAATAAAAAAGCCAACTGCACCACCTGCAGCTGCGTTCTGATTAGACGGGGCACACGCATCTCGTGCTCGACTGATAAATCAGTTGTCAAGAACTATAACTCAGTGATAGCAACGCCCTGAAAGCTTTTTCCCAGTTTTTCGTTTTCGGTGCATTTATTTATTACATGTTTGTTTGGTTGTACCTCATGGTTGTGGGAGGTGGAAAAAATCTAATTTTGATGAACACATGATGAACCTCAATTTCCGCTTTAGAGGGTGCACCGTGTGAGTTGCTTCATTAGCAGTGGGGAACCAACAGTTCCATGTCATAGACATCCATCCCCACCTCCAAAATTATTCCCATCCCAAATGTCAGTTTAATATTCATAAGTCGAAGTTTAAGTAGCGTCAAACGATAATAAAACATTCAAATTAAGTTGGGTCGCCACTTTTTGTTGAATGAAGTGAAATTGTGTGGGCGCAAGCGTGAGGCGCCTTCAAAAAATGGGTAACGCCCACGGGCGGGATTTGGGCCAGTTCGAGTTTAATGTGGGAATGACGAACTCGTAAAACCTAACGAATATGGTTAATGAAAATGCTAATTCGGTTTGATTAAAAGTTGGGATCATCTGGAACGATCTTAATACAAAATGTTCCTTGTATGTTGGGAACCAATATAAACACTATTAAACCTTACCCTATAAAGTCTTTAACACTCTGGTTTTCTTGATTTCGATTTGCCTAAATTTCTTTATGTGTTTTTTAAGTAATGTATTTACTTTTTAGGATTTGAGAAAACAGAAATAGATCAAATAAGAAAAAAAAATTAGATAGATAAACAGACTAATAGTTCTTTAAGAACACTATAAAAGAGAATATATTATAATATAACCAATGTCAATCCAAAATTTAATTACGAATTTAAGATTATTTAAACTTTAAAAGTATTTAGAACATTTAAATCATTTAAGAGCAAATTTCTTATAACTTTGAAACATACCCAAAAATCTGTCCTTTGATATGTAATCGAAATGGAAACGTTTTCTTATATTTTTCGTGTCGTCGAATCTAAAATTACGCAACTTGGCAACGAATCCCTGGAGAGGACCTCCAGAAACCGCCGCAGCAGATCCTGCCGATGGACCTGGACCTGGTGGTGATGATAATGGAGCCGAAGCGGATGCAGATGCGTTTTTGGATGTGGTGGCTGCGGCGGCCGAGGTCGGAGTGCCGGCTGGTGATGTTGATGTGGTGGTGGGCGCGTATATTGCAGATGCCATTAATGGTATTTGCAGTTTGGGATTGGTATAGGATATGATGGCTGCATTAGACGAGAAGGAGTAGAAGAAAAAACAGAGAGCAAGCTGAATTTCAAGCCAAATGAATTTGAAAGCAAGGTGAAATGGTTGGAAATGATGATCATACAATATTATTATTAGCGTGTGATGAGCGTGTCCAATGTGAATGCGAAATGATTTAGAAAAAAAAGAACATGAAAATGCGGGGTAGGAAATTAAAGGCAAAAGTAAATACGTGGTACATATGTGCGGGTGAAATCGAATTGCTGGCAATCTAATTAAACGGCTTTTAATCAAATTGACGCCACTGCCGATGAGGGGGAAAAGTGGGTATTGGGACTGGGATTGGGCAATGAGAATGCGTTCAGTGGCACGTGTCGCTGCAGGGGGCTGGTCCTATTTTTCATGTAAACCCCCCTGAATTTCCCCATTTGATTTTCTTTCGCTTTGTTATTTACCAGCGATGCGTGAGCGTAAATTACACAGAGGCGATTTGCCGATTGCCGGCGCCAAATGTTTGAAATATCGCTAAAAATACACAAACCGAAACAAACGCACATTTGCAGCTTGTTCATGCAGTTCTGTGAGTGTGTGTCGGCACCTCGGTGTTATTCAACTTTGGCAGATCGGCTGCTGCTATAATTAGCCATAAGGAAATTTTAATTCGCAAATGATTTTTGCACATTTATAGAAATAACAAGACGAGAACAATGCCAGTCAAAAGTGCTTCCGAGTAGTCTATGTGTTGATACCCTCCAGGTGGCCACAGGAGTGGTTCAATAAATATCCGCATTGTAAATCACGACTGATAAATGGGTTGTAAAATAATGGTGTTGTATGCGGTAGTGTCGAAGAAAAACATTCCCTAAAGATTTGCCATTTTTGATAGAATTTTTAATAAGATTTTCAGCTAAAATTAATAAAAATTTCTTTGACACCCCGCATCACAAAAATCCTAACATATAAATCCCGGAAAGTGCCAATATCGTCGAACAGACCCCATTTATAATATTCTGTTAGCACTTTCTGGTCTTGAACATCAAAGTCTGGTGCCTTAATAATGCCGACTGCCCAGCCAAAAACCGCCATATGAATCATCGAATCAGTTGATCACTCAAACGAAACCGAAAGTCCAACCAACACCTCTAGGGGCCTCTGGAACCCCAGACCCTTTTCCATCGAGTAGTTTTATTATACTGGTTCTGGTTTGGCTTGGGTTGCTTTTGCTTTTTCGCTGCGTTGTTCAACGAAATCGAACATGAACCTAACTCATAAAACTTAAATGCGGCAACTGTTTGCATTTCGCACACACACACCAGATCGTTTTACTCGACATTACTTTTATTTTGTGGGCTCGAGTTACAGAGGGGGTACTACTCCATATCTTAATGACTCAATCATGCGTTAAATGCCAAAACATCACAAACACTTTCATACACATGTAGACGCTAAACAGAGTTCAATAGCAGCAATAACAAAAATTTGATTACCCGACTTTGAACTTGGGGAAGTGATTGGGCGAAATAGAAGTACGCACGTGTAAGACATATCAAGTGTTTACTATTTTTAATCAGACCAGTTATTTTTATTAACTACCTAATGTTGGCAATTATGTTTTTCTAATATTCCGAGAAGAAACATTTTTAAAGGAAATCTAGATCCTAATGGAATTGTTTTATTTCACCCAAATTATATACTTTATCAGTCCCGATGGAATTGATAATTATTTTTATTATTCAAATACATATTTTTAAAAAGTCCCAGGGGACTGATGTATTTCGATTGAGGGTAATAAGTGCCAGCTGTCTTAGACTCGTACAACAAAAGTTACGTTGTGAAAGACCCAAACAGCGGTGCATAAATTCTTATCGCTACGCTGACATTTAATTGGAAGAAATGGCCACACTTACGTCATCAAACTACTGTGACTGTGACTTTCTTCTTCTATCAAGGGCCCAAACACAATGCTGCGGACCTGGTATCTTATCGGGTTCATCGAAATCACAGGCAGCCAAATAACAAACGTTTCTTTTTTTCCTAGGGCCTGTTATTTTCGTTAATTGTATATGTTGGGTAGGTTAGCCCCCTCTTCGAACCTCCATGCAGTGCAATTCAATTGGATACGTTCGCTGTCTGTGTCATATTTAATGATAACCCATTTCCCCAAAGGGGAACGAGGTATGTGGGTTATGTAAACAACTTCTGGTCATGCTTACAAGTGAATTTCTTTCAGCGGGCTCCAGACAAAGATGACCGAACTGCGATAACCCAGTACTGAGGAATCCCTTTTCACGCTCTTTTTCAAGAGGGTCCGAAACTGGGTTGAGCCATTTTTTAATGCTCGCCATATGTCAGGGATCTGTTGGCAGCTTTTTTGCATTTCCTTTTCTTTAATTGACCTAGTTCCTCTACAAGGAAGTCTTCTCCTGACACTTTCAGCATTAATTACCATCTGAAAGGAGGAGTCTGCATATCTCTGCAGAAAAATCAAAACACATGGCTTGCGGCAGGAAAAATGTTATATAGGTCAGAACAACATATGTGCAGTACAAGATCGAAGCTGACACCTCGAGGCGTATTTTTACAAGACCGCAAAGATATTATGTCACATACAAAGTCGCGTTAGACTTTAATTGGCCGCCACTTAAGTTGCTAAAAAAAAAGAAAACATTGTATGGGGTTTTTTTTCGATTCTTTATTTTATACTTTCCGCTCGTATTTTTTATTGTTTTGCAGAGGCAGCCAAAATGTCTGGCTCTAACAATAACAAATGTTAACCCGCTCGCCGCGCATTGTCAATTGCTGAATGTTTACAAAGGCGAGAAGAGGGCGAAAAACTGATCCGATCGGCCCCGAGTTTAGTGAACTCCATGGAACAGAACGTGTCGAGGAACTCCAATGGAGCTCTATTGCCATTGCTTTTATTTTTCCCCATTTCTCCCCATTTTGCATGCCTCTAATGAACCATTCAGCCAATGATTAAAGGGAGTGGTGGTGGGCCCCCGGGAGAAATTCTGCGGAAACGTCAGCATAACTCATGGAACTCCAATTGCCAATGTTGCATGCGCAGAGGTAATAAACAATTCACTTCTTGTCGCATCCACAAAAAACTCTCATCTAAGAAAGCCCACAATGCCCAATGTTTATTCGACTTCTATCTTTGTGGGCATTAGCTTTGACGCCTCGACAAAATGTTGTTTACTTCTGGACGAGCTTGACCTAATGCGTTTGCTTTGATTTCAGCCGCTGCGGCTTGATTTCGTTGAATTGCAGAGAGTTTTCTGTTTTTTATCGGGAAAGGAAAGCAAACACATGAAAGTGAAACATGACATTAACATAACCCGCCTGAAAGCCCGATTTTTGTGTTTTTTTAATATTCAATATTTTCCAGTTGCAAAAGGGAGCTGCTAATGAAGTTGTGCCAGACAGTGCAGTTAATTATGCGGCGACTGGAAGCCAAGTTCCAGATGTGTTGGTCCCCTCTGGGTCACATTTCCGGTGCAGAGCAGAAAAAAACCAAAAACCAGTCGCACTATTTGCAGTTACCCAACGGTAGCCAAAAGGGGATGGGGAAAGAATTACCTCCCGACATAATTATAATTGTGTAGCCCTCCCCCTTGATGAGAAAAGCCATCCAACACATTGTATCAACATGCGAGTTGGGTATCTCAACAGAACTTGCCACCTCTGCACCTCGAAAAGGCACCGGAATCTCAAGATTTCAAGATCTCTGGATGATGGTAGGGGTACGACAACATTTGGCATCCAAATAACTCGTCTGCGACAAACAAGCCTTGAGATTTTAATGTTTTTCTTCGGCTCTGGCGGAGTGTTGGGCTTTTGTTTGTGATTTATCATCAACTGCCGTTGACACCCTTACCGCAAGTGGGCGTGGCAGCAGTGCATTCTCCACGCCACTTCATGCCCCACGAGTCGTGCAACTCGAAATGCAATTCGCTTCAGTAAACCAATTACCATAAGATAACCATTATGACCAAGCAAAACGAACGATTTGGCAGGCCCAGATCAAGTGGCTGTGGAATATGAAAAAAAGACTGAGATATGGATGGGTTTTTCAAAGTGGGGAAACCTTAAATGCCCCTAAAAAAGTTTACCTATACCTTTAAGATACAGTAGTACAGTAAAGCTATTATTTAGTCTTACAAATTTTGGAATACTTATAGTTCTAACTGTTCTGTATTTAAATGTTCGTTTAGTAGCTTTACTATACTAAATATTTAAAAAATGTATATTGGTTTTAAAAGTTTTAGTTGTAATCTTTAGGAATATTCCCTTATTTTTTTAGAACTGTTGGTAACTGTTCATGCTGATCCGAATATAGTTTTAAAATTCAAAGCACTACTCCTTAAAAATCAATAAAATGCCAAATGCCGATCGAAATTCAACTCACACACGCTGTCCAAAGTTTACCCATCAGGTTATCAACTTTACACCTGGGTCTATTATGCCGGGCCCAACCTTCCCGAGCTGAAAAATGACAAATTAAGGCACTCAGAAGCGACACCAAAATTCGACACTTGCCATGCAGTTTTCGAGTGCGGCTAATTTGTAAATTAAATTAGCGCTCATTCTCATTTTTCCTATGTCGAAATGACGCCACCCGGCAACAAAGCAGCCGTCAGTATTTTTCAGAGACTCATAAACCTCGCACAACCCAATTTTAATTAGCCGGTAAAAAGCACGAGATACGAAAACTGAAAAGCCAGAAAGCCGCTCATGCAGCCTGTGGGTGAAGTTCTCTATAAAAACATTTTGCATGTCCAACAGACCCCACGAAATGCCATAAAAAACTGGACGATATAAAACCACGCAGGCCAAAACGAATGGATTTCTACCTGGACAGAATACTTCAGGGTGAATAAACTTCAATGTGGCCAAAAACGAAGTACAAAAGCACTTCTCTATTCAAGTCTGTCAGGGGAATAGTCATAAGTGTTGTTAAGGGGTCTCTAAAGAAGTCCCTTTCAAGACACTCCACTGTTTTCATTACCCCTACTCAAGAAATTCTGTGTTTTAATTATTGACGACACGTAACTGAAACACATGTAGCAAAAAACGGCTAATTTTGTACAATTTTTCTTTATTGATAAGTAAAAACGTTGCGTTTTTTCTTTATTTAGTTTTGATTGTTTCATGGCATGCAACAATTTGGATGAGTTTCTGATTTGACGACTAAATTGGCTGGCATTTTTGTAATAAATCGTTTAAGCGTTTTACAATTGGTGGCATTTTTGCAAGTCAACTGAAATTCATTCATTCGTTTAGAGCGTACAAAAAAAGTAGGAGTACAATGCTGATATTTATGAATGAGTTTACTTAAGTTCAATGGAAAATATTAGTGGCCTTCAGTGCCTAAGTTATTTGACTGTGGTTATGGGAATTGTAATATTTTATTTATTGGCAATTGTTTACTTTGTGTGGAACAAGTTTCCCCATTTGCATGCAGGTTACAATTGAAGAGTTATCGAAATTGAATATCTAAGGCAGCCCCACCTTCTATGGCTTTCCATATCACATCATTAAATAAATTGCCACGTAATTTCGTAATGCCCATAAACCATCATTTCGTATAATTAAATATTCTTTCTTTTTTCTCACTCGGCTTCAGCTGCCCTTGATGGGAATTAAACTGTCACCATATATAACCCATCATTTGATCGTTACACATGCCTGTGAATATACATATATCATGCCTAAATTAAATAATATTTACTTTCGTTCAGGAAATATTCGCCTTTCAAATTATGGACTCACATTGTGAACTTGACGTTTTGTTTTGTTTTTTAGCGTGTGCTTTTTATGAGGCATTTAATCGGTAGCTATTTGGCTGTGGTCCAAATTATCTTGCTCTCGTTTTCTTTTTGCTGGCACTGACATTGTCACGCCTTTTTTAGTGAAAGTATTTTTGAAACATTTTATTTTTAATTGCCTGTCAGAAATATAAGTTCTATGAATATAGCGATACATTAGCTGGGTATCTAAGGAAATGATGGCCAATATGAGTAAGGTTTCCAAGGAAAAAAAGATTTGTTAGTGGCTTGTACTCAGTTCTTTAGATCTCTTAGGTGTGGGCTTATCCAGGCCCTCTGATCCACCATATCCACTCGCAATTGTGGCATTGGATGCTGTTTGATTTATCGTGGTTATTTATTCGCTGCCACGAATGTGGCAGCTAATTTGAGTTTAATGAAGCCCGCAACACCTCAGAACATACTATATATATCTGCTTGAAAAAAGACCTCTATATAATATCAGCCCGAGGGCTTGTCAGTGTCCAATCGGCGAAACAGCCTACGCCACCACAGCCCAAGGTCCGTTTTCATTATAAAATTGATTAATTGCCAAGGGGAGTTTTTTTACATTTCCGTTAATTCTTTTTTTATTTTGCCAATTTAGTGCTGGCCTACGGATGGCAATTACCAGAATTTGGAGTAATCCAATTATGAGTTGTGTGGGTGGCAAAGTTTACTCAGATCTGTCGCGCAGATAGTACCCATAAATCTGCTCTTAACTTCACCCACTGCTATTGTATCTGCACTCGACCATACACAATGGCAGATAAGAATCTGTTCCGCATTATGACAAACGTTCGCCGAGAGTCCCCAGTCTTATATGCAGCTCAGGTGCCAGAGGCCCGACAGTTTATCTAACTATTAAACGCCAATCTACGGGGCTTCAAATACGTGCCGGCTTTTTTGCAAGAGGCACAGACTTCAGACTACTGATGGATAGCATCTTTCGCCTTCAACGCCGTTTACTTTGATGCATTTCCAATCCACAGTTCGCAATGTCGGTGGCTAAGTCACGAGCTGCCCCCGGTCTTTTGTGCTTTTCTGCTCCATACCTCCCATACCATTTTTGACTAATTTCGTTCGAAAACCTAAAAGAAAAACCACAATTTTGCATGCCAAGTCCGAGCTTGAAATCTACACCGAAAATCACTTAGCCCCATTTAACTCGACTGACCATTAAAATAAATTATTTAATTTTATTATTGCCGATAAAGCTGCAAAATAATGTGGCTGAAAATGCTTAAGATTTGACAGGCAGTTAGTCTTAGGCAAGATAAAATCGACGAAAAAATGACTAAGGTTGTTCTCAGTCAGAGAATTGGCAGCGTTTTACTCGGAAGATGACAGCTTCCTTTCTGGAAACTATTTAGCCATATAAGGCAGCATAAAGTTTGATGACTTCTTGACTTTCTCATGCTTAAAATTGGCAACATTGCTCACTGAAAAATGTCAGCATGGCTGCGCATGCGCAAAAACCCGCCTGCTGACTAATAAAATTTGCATATCCATATGAGCAATTGCATAGTTTTCATTAACTCGGAACGAAATGAAACGCCTTAGATGAAATGTGTCAACAGCAATTGGCGCTACTGCAAATTGATTTCAATTGTATCCACAAGAGCGCCACGAGCTGACGTCATTTCCATGATTGCGGTGCCGCCGGTTGTTGGTCAAGTCGGTAATCGTTCAGGGCCAAAACCGGCAAAATGCACTGGGAAAAATGTATACCTATATAAAGGTAAATTTTGAAGTTACTGTTCTTCATATAACATTTCATAAAAAATGTATCTGGTCAAGTACCAAGTTTCTGATCAACCTATTTGGAAGTACATTTATCTTTATAATAGTACTTCCGGGAAAAATATCAGCAACCCATAAATATTAAACGCTTTTAGATTAATTTATTGATTTTTTCCCGTGTTTATAAACCGGCGGGGCGCCAATGCAAATAAACTTGGTGGCCTGTGAAGAATTCGGTTGCAGTTGGGCGAGGACAAAGCCAAAAACAATTTAAATGCAAATCACGTGTTCTTCTTATTGCAACCGATCAATTGGCCAGCGATTGTGGTCTGAACTTGGACCACAAATGGAAGTGGGGAATATATTTTCCACATCGGCAATGAAAACTGACATTTCAGGGAAATGCGGACAGTAGGTGAAAATAGATAGATGAAAGCAATTTGTTTATATTGACTGTTCATGAATTGTGTCACTCATAAGACTTGACGGCCCTTGGACAATTGATCGCAAGAGTAAATCATATCGAATAACCCATTCGAATCTGACATTGAGCAACTTGAGATGCATTTTCCATGTCGTGTAATTGAACACCTTAAACGATTCGAAAAAAATTAAATTCCTAAGCAAAGTTGTCTGACGGGCATTTAAACTTGCTTTTGGCTCACTTTATATGTGTTTATATCTGTCATAAGGCGGAGGTGTTAGGCGTAACGCCTTTATTTCGGTTTCTTGGCGGGTTTTATGCAAATTTTGATAGCTTATCAAGTCTCATTATGTAAATAGACTCATGCTTGGTCAAGTTGAAGAGCGATCAAATGGGAACACTTGTAAATGAAATGGTTAGTAAAACAAGTCGCTTTATAAATACCCTAGATATAAACAATAGAAAAGATGGCAACTTTGTGAAACCCGAGGAAAGGAACTATGAAGAGTTCAGGGATGATTATGATCATACTTTAATTTTGATCCTAGCCCCAAGTTAACCTGCTGTTAAAATACCCATATCCCCTTTTCAGGGTATTTGCAGCCAATGTCCGCAAGTGTTGCTCGTAAATTTTGGGCAGTGGCATTTGTCATGCTGCCGTCATCGTTGGGCTTTTATTTAAGTTCTTACAGACATGTAAATATAAAATTTATAGTTCGGGGCCCGCGCAAGGTCACAGGGTCATTGTAAAGGCGAACCAACCATGACTAATTCAGTGTTTGATTTACAAAATAATTTCGATTGTTTACAGCACGTTTTCAATGTCATAAATACTGACACTAAACATAGTTTAATTATAATTTAATGGCGCACTCTGATGTCTTCATTAAACCATTTGCGCAGCTGTGAAGTGTGTTTATGTTCCCTATTCGAGAGCAAATAAATACAAATTTCGACTGCCATCGGAAATTCCTGTGAATTCTATAAACAAAAAAAAGATAATCTGGCTGGAGATGAGATGGGGAGGCGGAGTAGAGCGACTTTGGGCAGATAAAGCGAAAGAGAAACCGCATCAGACGATCCTAAGGCCACGGCCAGAAGATATATGAGAATTTATGCTGGCCCAAAGAATTCCTGGAACCAAACTGAATGGCTTTCGACTTCGACATATACACAAGACTGCCAATTTATTATCGTTTTATTTCGTTTGCAATCCTTAATATAAGCTGGCTCTGCAGATGACATCATAAGCTTGCCCCGAAAACAATTTTTAACCGTGAAAGAGAAGACGTGACCGCATTGCACTTTTGACGCCACACACTTGAAGACGCCGCTCAAGGAACCTTTCGGAAACCGATAATTTATGACAGTTTTTGCCTTCTCCCAAATGAATATTAATTGAAATCCCCCAGCATCCGTCTGTCAGACAGTTTTGCCTTTTGTGGAACACTCAGTTGTCAGCGGGTTGACTACTTTACGGTTCGTTTTTCAATATATGTCTATATGGATAGGGTTTTTGCATATGTACTCGTTTGTAGAATCTAAGATGAGAGGCATGGCCAATTTGGCAAGTGATTTACATTCTTTAATCCTCTTATGTAAATAAAACAAAGCAAAAATAGAATGCGACATTGGCAGTTGTGGCGTCATAAGATAGAGAGTCAGCGACCGATTTTATTGATCTGATCTGGGGGCCCTACGATGATCTGTGGGCAAACCGGCTTTAAGCTCCATCTCAGACTTAATTGGGCGTCACAAAGTGGATGGCCCTCCCATCCACGCTCTAAGCCAGTTTCCCCACCACCCAGACCATCGTTATTATGTGCTGGTTATGAAGACGTTTGTATAGCAAGTAATTATATGGTTGATCTTTTAATTTACCTGGACTTTCCACACCCATTATGGCGTCAGAATCCTCTGCAGCAGGTATTTAAAAGAATTCGGTGATTCGGGTTAGTGGTGTGCTGTGACTCAGTCAGGTAACGTAATTGTCTATTTCTATTAGCCAAAGTGTTTGCCAAAATATAAAAACAATATTGCAAATCTAGATGTATTGCCTCAGTGCTCTGACTAATGGTGAGTGAAGTGTCTGTTTGAATAATTTGCATTTGCATTGGCATTCGCCTTTGCAATGCTAATAAATTGCAGATTTCGGTGTCACTGTGCAGAGAGATCTCTTTGAGATTTCGTTGAATTCGAATTCAAAGTCAAATACTTTGCTCGAACATCTGTCGGCATTTTGCTGAATGAATTTTTGCATTGTGCGAAATATATTTTTAGGTATTTGTAGGTGAGCTGGTCGCATGAAAACCACAAAATAAATAGGAAAATACGAGTATTTATTGTCGAAAACAGTCATGATGTAAGTGTCTATATATCCGTCTATATCCTATATGCACTGCTCAATGACTTTGAATAATTAGCTGATGAAATAAGCATTTCTCAGTAATTAAAATTACTCGGAATTTAAATAAATTATGCAAATTTCAAGAAACGAAAGAAAGCAGTTTACGGATTCTATTTTTAATTTTATTTGAAATTTATATCAAATGAACGACTAAGAAAATATGGGGCTCATGTAAGGTTTGATATAATTTGTATGTTGGTTGAAACACTTTAAAAATTGTTTACCTTTGCAGGTTGTTGTACCATAAAAGGACATGATTCTTTAAAAATGAACTTTAAGCAAGAATAAATATGAAGTACATTAATTTAAATGTGTCAAGCACAAGCTGTTTTACCAAAAAATAAATAAATAAATTATCCTTAAATTTCATAAAAGAAACATAAGCAATCATGAAGATTAAGAACCATTTTTTCAAATTCAAGCTGTTCAACTCCCAAAGAAAAATGAAGAAACTTGAAAAATTAATTACAGAAAAGAAGGGGAAAATGCAATAAGTCTTCAGGCAATCAACAGCATTCCGAAATCATTAAAAAAGAATTGCATCAAAGAAGGGCATTCGCGGGATACTCTCGTAATATCGCATGGCACCTACTTGAGCCTAGGGATTCTTGGACTTGATGGCAACTCACCTTCCCTGACGTAACCGCCCTCCATGGTGCCAAAAGTGTACACCTCGCTCCGGTTCCCTCTGCCCCTGCCTTGGAACACTTTTTGGCCGCGAAATCCGGGGGTACGGGGTTCGATTATGACCCGATCGGTCTGGCCAATGCACTCGACACCTCAGCCGAATTCGAGATACTCCGTATCCAGAATCTGTGGCAATGCGTGCGCTGTTGGTTCCGCGTTCCTCGGTCTTCGATTCTTATTTATTTTTATGCCAAGTATTCTGTTGTCTGGCTATTTATTAGAATTTATCTGGCGATTGCTATTGCTATTGCAGCACCAGCAACCAAAGATCTATGGCGTGCAAGTGGCCGGGCATCGTGTGGATCGCAGAGCTCCTCAATGGATGGATGCAACAAACAAACAGTCTCGTCCCACTGTCCCAGCACCAGTTGCAGTCCCCAAAGCAATCTATCTGCCAGTTGTATCTGTGTACTAGCTGAAACTCCAGCTCCAGAGAAGAGATTTCGCCAGAATTTGCATGGGTCCTCGGCTTTTTGGGTTTGGCCTCCTCTTAATACTTTCCGTTGGCTGATGTTGTCTTCTTTGGCCTGAAAATGGGTTGGGGGATAAACACAAATATAAGTAAATGTTCTCCATCAAATTGACCAAAGATAAGTGATGACCCTCCCTAGAGTTCAAAGTCAGTAAATCACATCGCATAATTGCAATCAATGGGGCGTGGAATCGAAACCTTTGACTTGACCCCATCGGCGATTAATTTACCTTGACATTCGCTGGGGAAATATTTCATTTTTCCATACTGAATTTTCTCTAAAAATAGCCAACAAAATCATTCCGTCTTGGAACATTTAGCTCCTTCATTTCCGTTTCGCTTTTCGCTCAATTACCCTTCCCCCTTGGATTTTTCACGCATCTGCATGGTTTGCGCCCACAGATTCGCGGGTTTACGATTCCGTTTATTTGTTGTTTGCTTTAAAAAAATCTTTCGGCACATAAAATATTGACAACGGGGGTACACCGAACAAAATTCACTCCAAAATATGATAGGATATGATATAATGTTTAATCAATTTGATAGTAAAGTCAACTCAAATTATTCAAGAAGAAAAAACTCTTAAAATTAAATTCTCCACACACCGGTTGTATAAAGACCACAAAACACCGAACACAATTCTTTGCAAAATATGATGTGACATGATATAATGTTTAATCAATTTGATAATAAAGTCAACTCAAATTATTCAAGAAGAAAAAACTCTTAAAATTAAATTCTTCACACACCGGTTGTATAAAGACCACAAAATTATTCACGAGTTTCTTTTTTCCTGTGCACAATTCATGATGTCACTTTGTCAATGTTTGGGTCGCAAATTGAAAACAAATTTATAATGCAAATACGAGTAGCCAAGAAATAAATAAAACCAGAAGAAATCAAAATTTGTTTATTGAAAGCTTGAATGCAATCGCTGGTTTTTTATTTGCGCGGACGATGTGTTTTCACAATGACTAAGCGGCAAGTTCAATGTCAAAAAACGAACCGAAATCAAAAAGCAGAGACCCAAAATGAATGCCGAATATCGGGGAAATCGGAATCGAAACTTTACTTGCTTGGTTTAATCCAGGCTAAATCAAAAACAAAATAAAACTGCAAAAAAACGAAGCAGCCAAAGTCGAAGAACCGCACCCGACAAAACACCGAAATGAACTGCAGAGGAACCCCGTTCGGAACCCAGAAGAAACAATCAAAATACTTCACCAAAAACAGAAACGAAAGATATTAAGTAATAAAAAAAGATAGAGAGTGGGACAGACAATTGTCACGACGAAGGGCCATCGAGAGAAATGGTCGTCAATGGATTCATACTTGACATTCGATTGGGCGCCAAGAACATAGGAACCGAAAGACCATTCTGCTGCCAAAAAAAGCGAGCTCGTAAACTTTCAATTTTTGGACCGACTCGCTATGCGGCGACGATCAATTTTATCGGCGGAACGAATTTTAATTGAAGACCCAGGCCGTAGACCGCAGTGGGAAAACTGGAGAAAAGACCCTGAGTGATTACATGAGTACTGTCTGTGCGTCTCTCTAACAAGTCGCATAATTAAACTGGCGTTTGATTAATAATCATTGAACCCGGGATGACCCGCACTTCCCATTCCCATCCCGAAACTTTTGTGGTTTGTTGTAACAATTAGCGGCAACATTATGCACTTTAAATCGACATTTATTGGGTTAAATCTGTGTGAGTACAGCCTTCGACGGCCCTCACAATGGAAATTCGAAATTCGAAATTGGTTCAATTGATGTTCAATAATTTTATAGCTTAACGAGTGTAAATATTGAACACAAAGGACACTTGGTGTTTTTAATTCCCTACGGGTGTCATCAATCAAGAAATGGAAGGGAAAAGAGTGTCGAGTTAATTGCCACCGCACAAGTTGGTAATTATGTAATTGTCATGATGGACATGGTGCCCTTGTCTTGGGTTATTCTTGGGTTATACCCCTACCACTCATCGTGTGACAATGACATGGGGTTACAAGTGTGGCATTGACCGAGGGTTAAAAAAAAAGCCAAATCTGCACAAATTTAGAAACAAAATTGCTTACTTCACACTTTTTAAGAAGCTCTTCTTCTAATGACTTAATGGTTTCCCAGAATTCGGATGCGACTCTTCGTCATTAGTTTGGGCACAAACATTCGTGTTCAGACAGCCGAAATATAAATTTTGCGGCTTCTGTCAATTGTTTCCATGGCAGGTTAACAAACGCGAATTAGCAATGCAAATTATTACCCATGTGAGGCCTGAGCACTTAATAATCTATCTATCTTTATGGCATACGAAATAACCATTCTGTCAGTATTATTATTACAGAGCGTTACAAACGCCCACAAATGCTGCACTTGCCGAGTGCAATATTACGTATACGTAAACGCTGATGACTGATCATTAGGTTCGGAGAGCTGTGGGTAAACTAAAAACAAAGAAAAACCAATTAAGTGAGACCACAAGCCAAACAATACCGAAAACCCAAGGGGATATGGCGAATTAATAGCACCAGTTTTTGTTGGCCTTTTATTCTCTTTTGTTTTGTTTGGTGTGACGACGACGTCATCGTTGTCACTTTTCGTTTTTTGGGGTTTTGAGAATAATATAAATAAGCAATTTACCCACAGCTCAGAGAATTTATTTTCGGTTCTCCTTTGTCAGGCGAATATATCATGGATTCTATTGAAAGTAAATAACGAAACTGGGTCAGCGCCAGCATCCCGCGACGAGGGCGTCAAAAATACTTCAGCACGCTGATCAATCATATTTTGTGAGCGAAAAATAAAAAAACAGAACTACAAAGTGAGAACCTGATAGCGCCAATACTGGGCGCCATTTCGCTAATAAGCCATCACGGCGCACGTGGCGTATGCTTAACATTAGCCATCGCTTTACGAGCATCCATAAAAATGTTATTACATCAGTTGAAGTTCAACGCTCTCTCTAGGCAACTTCTATTATTTAAAAGTTGTACAGAAAATCAACTATATAGTTGATGAATATAGACCAACCAAAAACAATGGTTTGTTTAAAATGTTTAAAAAGTTGTATTCATAGATCAAGTATAAGAATGTTGAATCCTACAATTTAAATTTCTATAGAAAATTCACTTCCTATTTCTATGAATATATATTTTGTTTGAATTAACTGGAAAATATAAAATATTTGCAAGATTGTGAAATATTTTTTAAATTTCTTGGATTCCATTTTATAAGGAAATTTTAATCTTACCATTTCTGGGTAATAAATAATTAATTGGAACTCCAAGTTCCCCAATGTACTCTAAAATTTAATGCAAAATTTAAAACTAGTTGAAAAGTTGCAGCTAATTTTTCATGAATATTTAACTATTTGAGCAAAGTATATTCTAGGGTACATCGAAACCCGGTTACTTGTATTTATTAAGCATTCTTAGTTGCCTAACCGAAACTATGCGGAATGGCATTTTAATTGATCAAACATTTGCACATCTTTGGTCATTGAAATTAGCCAATAAACAATTTTAGCACTTTTCTAAACTTGGCGGAGGTGTTATCTTCCCCACATGCTGGCCTCAGAATGCGGATTCTAAATGAGTGTCCGTTTATTTGTTCAGAATTATGTGTTTGATTCCCCCAATTTTAGTTTTCCTCGATGTTTTCCGCCTTTACGTTTATTTTGGTTGTCTATTTTTATAGGTGATCTGATGAGTGGCCACTGGCCGAGCAACCTGCCATTGGCACTATCGAAGGAGCCGTAAATCATCCGAATTTATTTCCATATCTATTTTATTTCACTTGTGCTGTAGTCTTATTTTTCGCTTTTATCGGCACACCGTTGGGGCGAATGAAGCGTGCGATTGGATATTACAAATATTATATACTCAGGTACTTGTATCAGTTATCTTACTAACTATAAAAAATATTTGTATCTATTCAATATAAGCAAATATAAAGCTTTAAACGTATAGTGTTCTATTTATACTTCAAATTTACATGTATTGCCACTTAATTAGCTTACTCTGAGATCATTTTCGCTATCTTTTAGCTATCTCCACTAAAAACAATTACAACAGATTACAAAAATATTTAATTTACGTGATAAACTTAAGAGCACACAATCTAATAAATTGCGATGTCTCCCTGAAGATAAGGCCTCGCTCCAAAGTTGATGTCATGGCAGTGAAGGTAAAACCTTACCTCTCCTTTCTCCACTTTTCCATTATTATGCCTTATAAAAGACAGCGAATTCTGGTCGGCTATCTTGAGGCGGAAAACTCTGGCTTTCCATCTGCATTGCGTGACCAAGCAGTGGTAAAAAAGAAAAAAACACACCCACAATTGCAGCGCAACCTCCCACCCAGAAACCCTCTGTCATAATTCCGTAGCACGCATAAAAATTTAACGCCATTGCATGATGGTTGTTGAGCTTTTGACCCCTTAGGACAGTTGCTGTATATGGTATATGATGGAAGATAGGCCGTAACGCGGTGCACTTTTCGGGGAAGTCCCCCAAAAGAGTTCCCCTTCTGTTTGGCGTGTCAAATTAGTTACGCCCTAGGTGCTGCAGGTGGTTGTGGCTATTTTTGTCTGTCCGCTGACTAAGTCAAATGAAAATGTCAAATGTTTCTGACAGCCCGAGTTGTCAGCTATTCGGTGGTAATGAGAAAACAGCCGCCTCATCCATGATTATGTGAATACTTTTGTTACTCTAGCTCTTTTACCGTCAATGCTAATTTCCAGAAATTATATTTGTTGGCTAATGAAGTTAGGAGCCTAATTTTAAGAGCATTTGAAGACTTTAAACATTGTTTAAAATGTGTTTAAAAATGGTTAAATAATTAAAGTAACTCTTTTTCTTAGTACAAATTTTATGGTAATGACTATTTTTATGATTTTGTTTAGATTAGTTATTACCACTGTTTCAAAATTAAATATATATTGTACAATTAAAGTAAATATACTAATTTGAAAACCTGTTTCTTATTCACAAAACTGACTGGTTAGAAAAACAAAACCATAAATGGCAACTCTTCCAGTTGATGTTTAGTGCCCATGTATACATTTGTAACTCTGGCCCTTTCCATTCAGAGCCCCATTCATCTTCATTCACTTGGCTACCCTCCCATTTGCATTTGATCTTTTGTTTTGTCATCTGTCAAATGCACTCGCTGACGTCACCGGACCATTAATATTCATAACGCCCGGCCAAAGTCAAAGAGAATTAGGCATAAAGTCTATCAGGCCTACTGCCTTATCAATCATTCGAGGTGTATGAGTGAATGAATGAATGAAATTCTCATTCCTATGTTTAGTATTCCATTTTGGGCTCTGAAAAACGTTGCAATCGACTAAATATACATATATTTATACAGAGAGAGCTGATCTGAACACGTATAGCTAAATGGCAAACAAATGCTTCTGTTTTCGGGTTCCTCAAACCGACGACAAGCATTTCACCGATATTCTGCGACCTTGAAGGTGGCAACAAAAATTTAAAATTTTTATGCGTTTTCTACAGGCAGCTGCTTTTATTGTTGTTGCGTGTTTGTTTGATATTGCATATAGAGTAGACTCGTGTGTGAATAATTTTTGAATAAAGGCCAGAATGTCGCCACACCCACTGCCACCCACCGCCCCCTGAAAATGAGGTGGGCGAAAGAATTTCTCCCCACACTTTGCACTTGAAATAGTTTTCAGTTTTCCTTTCGGCCTTTCTACTCTCTCTATTTTTGTTGTGCTCTCGCTTTTCCATTTTAATGAGCATAGAAATTGGTGGTGCCTCGTTTAATTGTTGTTATTTTCATAGCAACAGCGCCACAATTATCATTTGTTCTTATCAAATGACTCATGAAACTAGCAACAATTTTCCGAGGGGCCTGAACCTAGACGTAAAATAAACATTACGCGAGAATTGTGCAATAAAAGGCGTATCAACCAACGCAAGAAAGCATTACATATTGCGTTAAAAAGGGCAGACCTATGATGAACTGGAAATAATTTATTACATTTTCCATATGTCAGAGGTAGAAATGCACAAAATAGAGTGAAAATATGCTATGCTGATAAGGGGAGAGGCTAAAAAAATTGCTTACCAAATTAAAAAAAAATATTTTGACATCCAAATAAAGTTTGTGGACTTTGGTTATTTCTTTAAAAAACACAATATTAAACAATGTTATGTTGATAATTAAGTGCAAAATGCTTTTTCAAAGGGCGTCAATATTTTTCAAACTAAAAACAATATTTTAAAAATCAAATACATTTTGTTGACTTTTAAAAAAATTAATAATGGAAAAATTATATGTTTATAATTAAGTGCAAAATGCTTCTTCAAAGGGGGTCAAAAGTGCTTTCCAAACAAAAAACAACATTTTGACAACCAAAAATATTATTTCTTTCATTTTGGTTATTACTTGTGAGAAAATAAAAGAAAACAAAAACCATTTAACATAGACTTTCCCATCCTCCCCTTTTCACTTCCCTAAAGTCCCAACAAGGTGCGAAACCACAAAAAGGTAAGCCGAATCCATCAAAGGGGAAAACCAAATGAAAACCGACGGTAAACCACAAAATGCTGCAATCAACTAAAACTCCATGGGTGGTATAAATACATGGGTGAAAATATGGCCTGAAATTGGAGTGGAAAGAGGTGAGACGCCCTATATGTACCTCATCATACAGAAAATGCAATTATGCAAATAGCCCCGTTTGAAATGCAGCCATAGAAGAGCGGGAAAAGTTAAATCACACAATAACAATCAAGAAGGGGTTAGAAAACCATAAAGAAATTTTATTTTACCCAAATTAAAACACAATCGAAGGGCAATTCAACAAAAATAAATGGAAAGCACGCGCCAAGGGGGGAAATAATGTGAAACCAATGCCGAAAATGGCGAGAACCGACAAATTTCGAAGGGTTGATTCTTGGAGGGTTTAATATTCCAAATAGGGAACTTGATCTTTTTTTCGCCCAACTACCTGAGTGCGAAACCGAATCTGCAGCCGTCTATGAGCTCATACCCAAATGTAAATCAAATAGCCAGATAAGGGAACCCCTCGACTCAGACATTACAATGGGCCGGATACAACGAGCCCCTTTTATATAAATTCATTCTTTTTTTATTTTTGGCGCACTCGCCGACTTTGTAACAATCTTATCGCAGGACTTTTATCTAATTTAAGCCTCACATATGCTCATGTTGGCTGAAATCTGATTGAAAGGCCGACAAAATCGCTCTAGTGTTAAATTAAAAGTGGTCTTGTCTCAATAAAACCGAAAAAACTACCCGCCACCAGTGCAATCTGGGCTTTGAGTGCCCACTGTACTTGATTGCCGCCTGATTGGGCACCATTGAAACTTAATTAATGCGAAAATATGCAGTAAAAAAGCGGTGCGAAATTAACAAAGGCAAATTTATTGAGTGGGCTGGGTGTAAATATGGTTTACAGAAACATTCTGGCAGGAGCTTTAGCCGCCGGATGTGGGCGACCCACTTGCCCAAAAGCCTATAATTTCCTTTTCTGGTACACTGAAACAAAGGTTTCGAATCAACAAAGAATCCTAACAAATAGATACAATTTGAAAAAGAGGGATAAGCATATATGCTAACAATTGACATAATTTAGTTTTAAGCCCAAGAACCTGCCTATAGTTTTGGATATCATAACAATTATATCAATATTCCTTTGATACTTTGAGAATTACGAAATTGAAGTATTCTACAATAATGACACAATATTTTGAAGGGAAAGGAAATATTTTCTAGTTTGTAGAAATATTTAAAATTTGTATACTATTTTTTTAAGGTGGTATGAAAAAGTGTTCGAAGTATATATCACTTTGACATTGTTTTTGATTGTACAAAATCATAATAAATGTCAAGGTAATACATTATTAACATGTGTGATTATTCACAAGAAACAAGTATAAGAACGGCATTTGGCATTTTTCATTACTTTCTGTGAACAAGATAATAAAAATCACAACATTTTCAATGTGCAACATCATAAAAAATAAATTTTTATTAAAGATCATAAGAAACATGGCATATTATTCACATAAAACAGTGTGAGAATATTTTATAGAATTTTTCCTATTAACTGCATAGTAGAAACCGAATTTTCTGTGTAGAATTGGACCCACGCCGAATGGCCAAACAAGTGGTGCTCGATGGGAGCCGAAATGGCTCTCGTGCCCAATGGTGGTGCAGGTCTGGACACCCACACCACTTGGGGCACCACCGAATCCATCCAAAACCACCAAAGAGCCACCCACGTGCCGCATTTAAGCGCCGGCTGAGAGAGCCTGCTGCCACTTGTTCGGCGTTGCATGGAAATTGAAGGCACGACGAGAGCGGTTGCAACATGCGGAAAAGCGGAAAATGTGCCGGCGAAGCCAGTGAGAGAATTTTCCCAGCTGTTCGGAGGGGTGGGCTCCCTTTTCATTCGGGAGGTGAAAAGTTCAAGCCCTGCAGCTGGCTGCGTCCTTGGGAAATTCAGCTGCTGTGGAGCACTCGGAACCGGCATTGCATTCGGCCGAAGGACACGTTTTCCCAGCAAAATCAATAACTGCCCGGGTCATTTCGGGATCCCCATATCATGTGCCCTGCCATCCCAAATCAAAAATCAATTCAAACGATTGCCAAACTCACCTCGTTTGATTTCCACTTGTCTGGCACAACAGATTTGGGGTATCTATTTTTTGTGTTGTGATTATTTTTCAAGCTGTTTTCCAAAATGAAACAAGAAATTTGAAAATTAATTTTTTCCCGATTCCCTGGGTTTTACGAAACTTTACAGCGAACGTTACACTTTGATTGTTGATAGCGTGCATTTGTGAGTGCGTGTGTGCTGTTTTGATTTTGATTAGAGCGAGGGGAAAACGAATGCAAATCGATGGAAACGGCCTGGGTTTTGTTTAGCTTTTGTTGTTTGGCCGCCAGGGGCAATGTCGCGCATTTATTTTTGTTACATATTTTAAATTTAGCTTTGCCGGTCTTTTGTTTACCCGTTTTGCCTATGAAAGAAAATGAATTTATAATAGCAGAGCGTGTATTTTTTTTCTGTCTGGCTAACTAGTTTCCAGCCTACACTGAAATTGTGTTCTAAATGGCAAACAAAACGCCCACACGAAATTCAGCCCACTCTGTCGAAGCAACAAAAGCAAAAAAACACACACGCACTCGCAGAGATAACGAAAAAAAAGGTAACGAAACTTGCGTACTTAATCAAATAAGCGTTAAAGCAATCGCTTTTGGCCAAAAACAAAACTCGCGAGCGTTCCGCACTTTTATTTATATTTTTATTTCGGTGCGCTCCGAAATGCTCCGCGCTCCGTTCAAATGCGAACTACCCACCAAAGTTTGAATCCATTCGAATATACCCGCCGACTGCGTATATGGGATGTTCCATTGCAACCCGGCCACGAACAAGTTGTGCGTTGTTCGATCGAACTTTCTTCTTTCACAACCATTGCAGTTTTAATTAATTAATATTAAAATAATACTTTTCATTTAAAGATATTAATCTTTATTTACATACAAAAATTCTTTTTTCAAATGACGTAAAATAGTTGATAACAATGTAAGCGAAACCAGAAGGTTGAGAAATATGACAAGTCTTATGATTATGATTTTAGGGATTTTTATTATAATTTGTAGGCTTTCTTTATAAACTTATATTTTTGGGATGTTTTGTATAACATCATTGAAACGAAATAAATCTAAAGGGATTACCCATGTGCTGATGACTCAAAAAGATTGTCCGAATTGTACGCACATCATCTAAACAAGTGTTTCCTCCCATATTTTGACCAATGGTGACACAGTCGCAGAATATTAATGAATTCGAATCCGTAACCTAAGACTGACTCACACCACCAAGTGGTAAATTTATAATATCAGAAATAGCCAGAAGGTGATGAAAAGCTACAACCCTTGGCAATTTTTCAGGCGACAAAATCCATGTCCTGCGTCTGTTCAACCACTTAAGCGGTTCATCAATAACGTGACTGCACTGCCCTCAACTGGCTAATAAATAATTCAGACTAGTTCGGAAATCCAATAAAAAGCGGGTCACAATCGAGTTCATATCCTGGCCTTAATTCGAGCGAAGGTTTCTAGGAGCAGAACGAAAAAGCGCCATAACTCACTCGAAAAAAGCCAATTAATTAAGAAACAAAAATTATGAAATGAAGAGCGAATATGGCTGAAACGGAAAAGCAGGCTTTCCGCCTTTGAAATGTCCTTGCAGCAATGGCAATCCTTCGGCGACCCAAATACTGTCCTCTCTGTATGGGCCACGGAAATGCAAATTCTCCGAGTCCCGGACTTCTGTGCTCCACTTAACCGCGCCGCGTGGGAGTTGTCCATATTGATTTAATTCCAGCCATCCAGTGACGCAATTCTCGCGGAGTTGAACGCTCGACCGACAAATAATCCAGAGGCAAGAGCCCCAAGGGGTTGTTTTTTTTGGCAGTCGGCTATAAAGGAATTTTTTTTCGGTAGTCGGAGGCGCCACAATGACTGCGCATAGTTTTATGTGTTTGCTAGAGGTTTTCTATGAGTTTCCACGTTGTCATTGTGGGTTTTCGGTTCATGTATCTGTATCTGTATCTGTTTATAAGCCCACTGCAGCTGGATGTCATGACCTAGACAATTTTCGGTCTGCATAGATTTCGATCTCCGGCTAAGGTCAATGCGGCGTATACTTAACGTCTAATGAGATTACCCCTCATTAGCATACAATGACTAGTAAAGGTTTTGCGGGATAAGAAAGTCAATTTATCATATCTATAAATATGCAACCCAAAACGAAATGACCGTGACAGTGAATGACTCAACTTCAATTACTGAAAAAACTGACCTGAAGAGCCGGAATTTGACCAGCTGGCTAATATTAGTCAACAGCTTGGCAAGTAAGCAAACAAAGCGCAGTTTGTTGTCAAACAAAAAGAAAACCGCACTCTAGTTTATTAGCTTTTTGGCTTTGGGACACGAAACGGAAAGGGGAAAATGGAGTTGCAAGGCCTGGGAGGGGATGTTAATTTGCCAGAATTTTACTGGACAACATTGAATCACTTCCAGCGGTTAGATTAAATATTTATGTCATCCACACATTTAGAGATATTCGCCAGCAAATATCGTTCATCAACGCCAACTGAGTCAACAATGAGGTAACGCTCCCAACTCCCGACTTTGTCTATATCTCGGAACATGGAAAATCGCTTGTGTTAACAAGTGCGATGTGCACTTGGGCTGTCCTCAGTCCACCGTCCACATAGATAGCACAATACACTCATTGTCCCACCGTTTTGACCCACTGATCGTGTTACGGGGCATTTAATCAGCATTACCCCAAGATGAGGAGCACTTTGCACCACTCCACTTGGCAGTGGGAACGCATGAAGTACTTCCTCGATTCCGCCAAACAAACATTGCCAATTGTGTCTACCAATTGCCACTTTGAACCGAAAGAAAGTGGCAGAAATATCTATATTCCATTTGAAGAGCGAACCACTCACCCACAAGTGGGTGTCTTCAGCATCAACTTATTGTTGCGAATTGAATTCCTCAATTAATTTCGATTGCTTTTCTAGGAAATCACTTGAGGGGGCGAGCATACATATTTTGTCACCCGAAAGATTGCTAATTTTTATAGGTCGTTAGGCTTAAAATATTAATAGCCTGTGATGAACGAAATTTGAATGGGGGAATAAACTTGGAAATGGTTTTTGATGAATTTGTTTTTGCAACCTTAATTAAATGTGGTTTTATATTAACAAAAATAAAACAAACCGAAATGACTAATTTCAATCGGTTATAATTAACACAGTACATTAAAAAAATTTACATTTACATCTATAATACAATAAATTATTTAAATGATTTCCCAAACTTAACTAATTTCTTTTGATATTTTCAAAAGAACCGCCAACAATTTCAAACGCCAAAAACTAGGTGGCAACATTGGCGTATGCTTAGCAGCCCTGGTCGAATGCCGTCTAGTATTTATTTTTGGTATTTCCACACCCGCCGCTTACGGTCCTACTAGGATGCAACAAAAATCCACGAGATAAATAAATCCAAAATAACTAATTATTGGCAGTTATTTACAAATTAAAACCACGATGGACAGCAGCAATGACTTGTCGGACGAGCTGATACGCCGCTTCAGCGTTGGCGGAACCCTGGGTGAGTGGGAAATCCGGAATTCCCAATTGGGACGCACCTGTTGTGGCTCCGATTTTTAATTGTAAACAATTTCGCAGAGGAGGTGATTGCCAGCGAAATCTTCGAGGAGAGCATCGATGTGGAGACGGAGGCAGAACCGGACGACATAATCATCGTGCACATGGACATCCGCGAGCCGCTCAGCATGCTGAAGTGAGTCCAGTCAGGAAGCCCCCATACTTCCCATACAAATAACCCTAATTTTTCCCTAAACAGATCACTTGTTGAGCAAAAAATAGGGGTGTGTCTGAATTACTACACCTTTTGGCTGCAGGATGCTCAGGAGGTGAGTTGAATTGCTGGAGATCCTACTGGTTACTCAACCTCTCTATTACCCCCCAGCTGGAGTCCCACAAAAACCTCGTGGATCAGTGCGTCAAAGGCGAGGGTCTCGTCCAGATCAACGTGCAGATCCAAACCATACGGAAACGCATCAATATAGCCGATGTCCTCAAGCCCACGGAGGCTGCTTTGGCTGCCCTGGCCGAGGAGGTGGTGGCCCAACTCTCCCCTCCTGAAACAGCCAGCCAGAAGAGCTCCTCCAGCGAAAGTCCCATCAAAACCCCCGTCAAACGGAAGCTTAAGGAAGACTCCGAGGAGGAATCCGTTGAATCCAGTAAGGATGTTAAGCCCGTCTTGAACTGGGTCCTCGACAGCAAGTTCAAGCGGGAACAGGCACGCCTCAAGATCCCCGAGGCGGCCATCGAATGGACGCAGGCCCACGTGACGCACTGGCTCGAGTGGGCCATCAAGCAGTTCGAGCTACGTGGCATCAACATGAGCGACTGGCAGATCAACGGCCAGGAACTGTGCGCCATGACGCACGAGGAATTCAGCAAGAAGTTGCCCCGTGATCCGGGCAATGTCTTCTGGACGCACCTGCAGCTGCTCAAGGAATGCAACTTTGTGTCCGTGGTGCACAAGCAGGCGGAGGAGCTGCGGAAACCCAAGCAACCCAGGATCATGTCAGCCACTGCCATATCGACCACGGCATCGGGTCCGGTGTCTCTGGAACAGCGGATTATGCGGAAATCCTACCAGGCAGTTAAGGGTTCCGAGTGTGAGTAGATGAGAAATCCAACCAAGATTTTAAACTAACAAGATACATTGCCCCTACAGCCGTTGAAAGTTCCCCCACATCCATGAGTCCCACGAATTACACCACCATCGGTTCCGGCAACAATGGACAAGTGCAGCTGTGGCAGTTCCTACTCGAAATACTCACCGACTGCGAGCACACGGACATCATCGAATGGGTGGGCACCGACGGAGAGTTCAAGCTCAGCGATCCGGATCGCGTGGCCCGCCTTTGGGGCGAGAAGAAAAACAAACCCGCCATGAACTACGAGAAACTTTCGAGGGCTCTCCGATACTACTACGATGGAGATATGATCTCCAAGGTGTCCGGCAAGCGATTTGCCTACAAATTTGACTGCGACCTAAAGCTGTTGATTGGCTACGATGCCAAGGAGCTGTCGCGGCTGGTCAACGAGCGGAAGGTAGTGCCCGAGCCCGTGGTCCCCCTGGAAACGGTCAAAGAAGACACATGACATGGCGAGCTGAAGCTCAAGGAGGAACCCGACATACTCTGGAAGTACGAGGAGCCTTAGCGTTGGCTGACTTGGTCGGATGACGGCGCCTGGTTAATAATACAAATTGTTACACACTTAACACATTTTACACTCTTAAGGCACACGATTTTATTATCCATTTCGTATTCACTAAGCTTTATAATCTCTGTCTACATAAGCTATAGCTATAAGTATCGCTTCTCTACAGTTAAACAACTTAATTATTATCTGAATAGTATCTCTATAGTGTGTATATTGAATATTGTTCGTTACATGATTGTTGCGATTTTTGTAAAATCCATAAAACTAAATTCATTTCCACGCGATTTCCATTTGCATTTGTTCCTTCTCCACGGCATCGTTGTGTGTTGATGGTTTTGTTTGTGATTTTACGTGACTAGTTTGCTTGCTTAACAGATCTAACTAAGCTATAAAGGTGGGCATTTAGCGGCTCCGGCTAAATGGCCTCCCAGTTGGCTTGTCGATGGAGTTAAAGACGATGATATTGATGATGATGGCCTGGCGGAATGTGCACGCAAATGCTCCTTTCC